TCATCGCTCGCGGGCTACACAAGTTAGGTAAAGCTTGTCAATAAAAGAGGGCAGGGAGGAGCGACTAGCAAATGTCGCAATATGTTTAACGGTGTTGCTATAAATCCGCTCTCCGACCCCCACGTGCGCGGGTGGGGGTCGGGTGAGGTCCGACCCTCGCCTCAGCGACCCCCACTTCCCTCAGAACCTCCTCTTCCTCCATGCCACGCTCACAATCAGAGAAATGAGTGAGACTTGTCCAAAAAACTCCAGATAGAACAGATTCTTCTGGCCTAACCTACACACGCTGAAACATTTCTCCACCCAAACAAACCTGAGCGGGCATAACATAACATCAATCGCTGCAGGAAGTTTGAGATGGAGTTAGCAGGCAGAGCCAGTGATTGTCTGCAAGAAGGTTGTTCATCGCGGCAGCGTGCTTAGGTTAGGCCAGAAGATGCTGGGCTGAAGTAGGTGTGGCCGGATGCAGAACTACCAGACCTTACCTTACCTTATGATGAGTTCGGGACTTCTTAGTCCACGGTCACGCTAATGTGGCGACCTGGTCATACCAGCTTCTAGTGAGCATTTTTAAGTATTGGAGGAAGATCTACGGCAGTGGTTCCCAAACTTTTTCAGGCTGGCGCCCCCTTTGGCTCCCATAGAGAATTTCTAGCGCCCCCCACAGACACATAAAAAACATACGCCTCTCTCTTGAAATTTAGTATGCTGAAATTTTACAAAATGAAGGTTAAACACAAATGTGTATTTCACAAATAGAACCCCATTTAGTGAACCAATATGTTTTTCAGCTGTTTTAACTGTTTCAGCACTAGAAACCTAGGACGTCTTGGGCGATTTTATGGCCGGACGCGTGGCCGGTCTCAGGACCAATCTCCAAATTCAATTATCAAGTAATATCTCTCAAACTAATGAACGCAGCTCAATGAAACTTGGAACATGTACTCATCAGAACCTGACGATGATGTGTAGCACGTGCAAATTTTTTTTTAATTTCACCTTCATTCGTGAGTTATATTGCGATACAGGCCGAAATTCGCAGCTAGTGATCAAAGAATTTCTTCCAAACTACTGAACAGATTTGAACGAAATTTTGAATATACATTCCTAACTACCGCAAACGGAGATTTTTTAGATTTAAAACATTTTTTATTTACTTTCGTTTGCCATTTTTTTCATTTAACTGTCATTCTTGATTTCACACTTCCTTATATTCGACCCGTATCGCCGGGTAATTTGGTAATTTGTCGCTTAAATTCGTGGTGATCAAAAAATTTCTGCTAACCTACCGATTAGATTTCAACGAAACTTTGTATATAAATACCTAACCTCCCAACGGTGATGTTTAGCTCGTCAAAATTTTTCTATTTTGCTTTCTTTCGCGATTTATACAGCTACAGGAGAAACGACCGGCTTTTCTACCGGCCGTTTTAACCAAGAGCCGTTTACGTATAGCCGTATAACTCGCAAACTAAGGCAAAATTGAAAAAAATGTAACGAGCTAAACATCACCGTTGCTGAGGTTAGGTATTTAAATACTAAGTTTCGTTCAAATCTGTTCAGTAGTTTGGAAGAAATTTCTTGCTTACTGCGAATTTAGGCACGTATTGCTGTTTAAATCACGAATGAAGGTGAAATAAAAAAACCCGCGAACGAAGGCACAATCGAAAAAATTTTCACCAGCTAAACATTAGTGTTGGGTAGTTAGGATTGTAAATTCAAAATTTCGTTCGAATATGTTCGTTGGTTTGGAAGTAATTCCTTCATCACTTTGATTTTCGGCCCGTGTTGCTATTTAACAATGGCAAAAATAAATGAAGGCAAAATTCAAAAAATTTTCACGACCTAAACATTACCGTTAGGTCCTAATGAATATGTGTACCAAATTTCATCGAGTTAAGTTCATTAGTTCGAGAGATATTCCATGATCGTTGAATTTAGTAATTGGACGTGAGACCGGCCGCGAGTCCCGACCGTAAATTTGTCCGAGACGTAAAACCAGGCGAAGTTAAAAAAACAAATCTGGGTGAAAAAACCATCGCTGGGAGTCATGATGTGCTGCACGTGTTGTGTACAAATCGTCAAACAAACGTTAGAACTGCTTATTTCGACTTCAGACTGCCGCCCTCCTACCGCCCCCTTATCGCCCTTTTCTTCCTTACCGCCCCTCAAAATCTTGCCATCGCCCCTAGGGGGGCGATATCGCCCACTTTGGGAACCACTGATCTACAGTGTTATTTTTTCGACCAGTGAGTGTGTCACTGGCCAGGATTAAGGAGTTCCAGCTTAGAGAGCGTCGTCAATTTCTGTGGCTGAATGAAGATGCTCTCGGCTGCTGATGAGCTCCGAATCTCGATTGCATTTTGGTCTTGTTTCCCGGAGGCCAAGTTTGTCGAAGGAGTCTCCAGCATCGTACAAATTCATGTAAACATTTTTCCTTAACCCTTCAGCGACCTATTTTCTTGCAAGAGCTAAACACCACGTTGCATCCATTGCACATTAATATAATGTATTTATTGAAAAAAATTACCTGGTCATAGGGCAACCTGAAACTGGAGGCGATAATATATACCCAATTGTTAGATTAATGCTTCGTACATAAACAAACAAATTAATGAGCTTCGTACATAAACAAAGAACGTCATTTTGAAAGGCAACATATTTGTACAGTTGGACTCCAAAGAGTAAACCAGAGCTAATCGCTGTTTGATGGCCAACTTGGAAGTTTTCTCGCGTTGGGTAACAGCAAACTTTTGCCTATTTCATGCTAGATCTACAATATAACAGATTTATTTCCCCTTAACTGGAAATTTAGTTCAGATTGGCAGTAAATTTTTTATTACCATCAGCACTTGTCTTAATTTCTACAGCAATTATACTGTGAACACGGAAAACAAACATTACGAAACGGTATCCGCTCCGTCAATTCTTACCGTTGTCCTTTATCATTGCTCTCGGTAATCATAGCGTACTTTGGTGGTTATTTTCTAATGGGTTAAATTTTGTAAGCATTGTAAAAAAACTCCTGCCTGGAACCATGAGGATTAAAATAAAATAAATCCTCCGCTCTGTAAAAATTTTTTGCTCAGGATATTGATTAGATACTTTATTATCTGAAAATAATAGCCATATTCTGCAGGTACAAAAACTAGATGTGGCCAAGTGATTAAGATCACCAAGATTTCAGCCATGAGTTGGGGGTTTGAAACCCCCAATGAGTAAGTTTGGTCGAAATTGGCTAGGTGACCGGTTGGTTAAGAATTGGCGACAGGCCAACGTAGCCTATTCAAAGCTGACATCATAAAACTATACTAATAACCTAAACTCTCATTAAGCGACATCGTTTTCACTCAGAAAAATGAACCGACCATAGTGTCCGAAAAAGTGACCCACTTCCTCACACACCACAAGAGCAGAGAGCGGACGTAGCACTGGTACGTCTATTTGCTGGTCCAAACTGGCTCAGGATGACCAGCACAAAGACTAAAACTGTATCGTGTTTGGACAAGTCTAACTCATTTCTCTGAGTGCACACTGGCGCCGACTCACAGGTTGCGCTCGTTCGTTTGTAATAAGGCGCGGTGCCCGATGTCCACTTAACTTTTGGCGGGAAAAAGAGATCGAAACTGTAATTGTCAATTTATGCTCTCAAAAGCCTTCTAGAGATTCGGTAACTTTCTCTGTACATAGTTTTAATACTTAGTTTTCGTATTTTCTCAATTTTTTGAAATTGTGAAGGAGCTGATCTATGAGACGTTTTCATCAGTCCAAGAAACGATTACGGGGAACACGCAGCGTGGGAAACCGAATTAGGAAGATCTGGAAATCAACTATATGGGAGTTTTATAGTTGATATTAAAATATTAATGAAATATGAGTAGATAAACTTATATGTATGGTGATCAATTATGCCACAGCTTCATCAATTAAATGTAAATTTGCCTAAGTTTGCGATTACGGTGGATGTGATGAGTAGAAGAACGGAGAACAAGAACCCTTCATCCGTCTAGTCCAACGGCATCCAAATCTAATTTTTTTAGCCGAACATTTTTCACTAAAATTGCCTCAAACTTGAAGTTGTGTTAGCATATCATACGTTCTTGTTTCTTTCTTCTTGATGTATAAGATTTTTACTGTGATAATGATTGTAAAATGAAGTTGATATATATTAATAAAAATGCACTTATACGAATCCAAGGACTGCTTTGAAAGGAAAGTGAACCGTGTAACTTCAAGGACTCCATCACGGCTGCTAATCCATCATGAATTAATGTCAAAAAATCCTTTTAGGAATTATAGCTGTGTTTCGACATAAATCTGGTATCAGCAATGTTACACGCAAGCAAGTCAGCCGGTGAAAGTTTGAATGGAAAATTAGTCACAACTCTAACATCGTGAAGACATTCAGCACCTAAATAAGTTCGGTACCATGGCTTTTCCCTCGACGCTGAACTTCCAGAACGGTCCTAGCAGCAATAGCCGACTCCGAGTAGACCGTACCTTATCTCATATTTTTGTTTCGTTCACCCGCCCTTTTTCCGAACCAAAAATGGCCAAATATCTCTCAACTAGGCCTAAGAAATAGGGCTAACTATAATGGATGTTAACAATTCCATTATGAAGGCCGATATATAAGTTATCTCGTTTCTCGTATCCATGATTCCTAAGGAAGCTTATAAATTTAGAATTTATTTGACTAAGTATATTTTACGGTAGAATGATACTTGATTCTACGTTATAAAGTTCTTTCATCGTTGATATCCTAATTGAAACATGGGAACTAAGTTGTTTCTGAGGAAAAAGACGATCCTTAGCCCTACCTTAATGTATACTCGAATTTTACAAGCATTCTTCATCTTCAAGAAATATATTTCTGCAGGACAAACCCTAACTTTCATAGATATTTATATGCAGCAGAGGTAACAAATCTTGAAAAATTTCAAATTAATTTCCTCAATTTACGCTCCTAAATAGATTATTTTGCTCAGTTGACATTTCGCTCTGGTGCAGTGAGGGTGTGCCGTGTCTTTCTGGGGATCGTCACATGCTGCTTCTCGATGTTCTGATTCGTGCTAGTGCCAATTTTTTTTTGGTGGTGAAGTTCTATGAAAATATCAGAGATTAGCAAAACATATTCATCATGGATCAAGCAACAGTGCAAGGTACTTTCCACTCTATTTTTAAAAATTAAAATCGAAGTCATATCCGACCTAGGTAGAGTAGGATAGATAAATTTTCCAAGTTCCAACAGCCAACTTATCATCCTATGCCTATGGGAATTGGGAAAATTATTCTCCTAACCAACCTATCATCCTATGGGAAAATGATTTTCCTAATTTCTTCAGTATGAAATGAGAAAAATTGCCTATTTTCATAGTTTCACTCGAGTATTACTCAACACCCATGATTTTTGAAAATCATGTGTCACATGTGAAATGATCATTTTTACATACAATTTTTTAATTTTAGGAAATTAGGAAACTCCTGCACTGTATTTCCTATTATCTGACAAAGACAAACCATGAATTTTATACTAACTAAAACTGACCCACAGGCCAAAAAATTGTAGACTCTAGAGAGATAAAAAGAGCATTGTAGACTTGAATTGTAGTTACAACTTAGGCTATAAGATAGCATTAGTTCCTAATTCCGGTATTATTGCAGATTAACTACATCCAAAAAAAGGGTGTTTTTTTTTTTGAATTATATGTTTTTTGGGGTGTAGATTACGAATCTGAAATCCATTTTTGGCGGTCGGCATCGGAAAACCGATTTTTTTCCGACCCAAAAATCGCGCTAAAAATGCCTGGAGATACATTGCCACATCGAGAGATCACACGTAGCGCACGACATCTTGAATGAAACTTACCCGTTGCACTGCAACGGGTAAAGAAGACGAAAATGTTACCCGTTGCACTGCAACGGGTAACATTTTCGTCTCCTTTGTCCATAAATCTGGAGATACATTGCCACATCGAGAGATCACAACCTAACGCCAACTCGCAGGTTGGGTTGGTTTGCCCAGGTTCCTTTTAGATCAAAATGCTATCTAAAAAAAGGAACTTGGCTGACTTAACCCATAAAGGTGAGTGGGTAACGTAAGTTACGTAACCCCCATGTTAGTAAGTCGCGAAAAAAATCGGTTTTCCGATGCCGACCGCCAAAAATGGATTTCAGATTCGTAATCTACACCCCAAAAAACATATAATTAAAAAAAAAACACCCTTTTTTTTGGATGTAGTTAATCTGCAATAATACCATCTACACCCCAAAAAACATATAATTAAAAAAAAAACACCCTTTTTTTTGGATGTAGTTAATCTGCAATAATACCCCTAATTCCTATAATTCTGGTCTGGTCAGCACTGCATGCTTGGAAAATTTCTTCATATTAGGCCTACAAAAATCATTTGGCTCTATTGTCAAATATTTTTGATGAAATTTGAATCTTGCTGCATAGCCTAGTTGTGCTCTTTTAAGTTTTAATAATAGATAGGAGATAAATTAGATAATTCATCTATCAGGCAATTCATAGTTTGGTTCCATTTGGAACTGGGCTAAATATTTCATGACCTAAATGACTTTAGGGCCTAGGCCTATATAATCTACTAAATGACTTTTAATCTAAGAAACATTATATCACTTACTAGTACCATATAGGCCTACAGCATTAAAAGTACTCACTTTTTCAATAAAATTCTGCATCTAACTTATAAATAATATATTTTTATAACAAATAACTCACCTTCTCTGCTAAATCAAGCCATGCATCCACTTGTACCTATATTTATTTGATCATACAATTTTGTATAAATCCATTTTTCTCCATTGGTTCAAAATGGAACTGATAGGCATTAATGGGTTAAAGTTTTTGAGAATTAAATTAAGTTAATTCAAATATAGCTGAAATCTGGTAACTTGAAGAAATGGAGAGAAAGCTCAGGTTAGGCAAGGTTATCAAGATTAATACCCATACCTAAGTTAGCCTAACCTGGGTTTTTCTGCAATTTTTGGAATGTGCAATAATTTCCTCTAGGGGCCTGAAGGATTTACTTGTATCTAATGGTTGATTTACTTTGAGGTGCTAACATCTCAAAAAGTAGTGTATCGCTTCAAACATTGTTTTTACTATCCAAATCTACCCATAGAGAAAAAAGTATATTAAATAGAAATTTGAAAGTCGATAAAAAAATATTTGGGTAACTAAACAGAATAATTCCTATTTAAAATTTTACCATAAGTGTCAATCTATTGCCTAATAAGATAGAGAAATTTGTAATATATTTATTCTAAACTGACATATGTTGAGATTAATTGCCAAATGCACCCCATACAAAAAGTTCACAAGCTGAAACCTAAAACCACATCCATACACAGAGAGGAAATGATTGAGCTACCATGTGTAACTTACTAAAATGTGACTTACCTGTGATTTGGGCCCAAAATGAATTAAAACGTGTGTGTCAGTGTTCTGGACTATCCATATTCAGTGATATTTTCAATTATGATAAATATTACAATTAATGTTGAATTATATTAATCTCATTAACTTTCAGGTGATGGAGGTGGAGGTGGAGTCACTGTCAAGAAAGAGAAGGTGGATGAGACGGAGATCAACTTGCTTGCTGCTGAGATGGCAGAGAAGAACCGTCAAAAAATGCTTTCCCAGGCAACCCAGATTGCCCAACAGAACCAAGCATCCCAACAGGCATTGCAGCGGGCTGGTGGCCAACAGATGATCACATACTACTTCAACAGAGACAAAGAGAAGAATGGAGAAGTTGAGGAGGATTCTTTCCTACCCAAGAAAGTTGAGGAGAAGAAGAAAGGTGTTATTGATGAGGACTCACAACGAGGTCGGTTTGGCTGGACCACTATCCACACTTCACACATTCCTTACCTGTTCAGGAGAGAAGAAAAATACTGTGCTGTTAGGATGGTTGAAATCAAACTACTCAACAAGTACCTTAGTTTTCTTCCTCAGGAAATTACCACTTGCATTAATGTACGATCATATTTTATTACTGAGAGTGAGGCTAGGTTATTAACTGAGATCAATACAAAGCACTGTGAACTCCAATTTGGACGAGATTACTTCACAACCAAAGATCTTGTTGTTAAAGTAAGTGAAGCCAAACATTTTCATAGGTTTTTGGACACTTGCTTCAAAAAGCTTGTACAGAGATCAACAGAACAAAGTGAATTTTGTGGTTTTGTTAGAATAAATGGTGAAAGTGTTGTGCCATACACTGTTAAAGAAAAAGTCAAATATGTACCATTGTTCTACTTTGAAGGAGAAACAGACACCTTAAAAACAAAAGCTGAAAAGATAGACAATTGGGAATTGGCTTACCTGAAATTTTGCTGCAAAGTGCAAGGAATTAGGAACGAACTTTTTGCAAGTGACACCTGCGCTGTCGTAAGCCTTGATGATGTTAAGCAATACTTCCCTAAAGAAACACAGTTTGAAGACTGGTGGCCACAGAAAACTGCTGAACCCATGAGAGTTGTAACTCAAGGTGCCCATGCTGGGTCAAACTCCAAGGGTCTGGGAAGCTGGACTCAAAGACCCGCCACACAGCCACCTGCTGCTCCAGCTCCTACAAGTGCAGCTTCAGTTTCTGGTGTAAGTAAAAATGTTCTTGCTAGTTCAAGTCATCGGCATTTAGGAAATCACCATGCAAGCAAAACTGGCTCTTCTACAGCTCTTCCTAACCTCCCACAACTTGGTCTAAATAGTCTAGTTAATAACGTTGGAAGAAGCAGTTCTTCAGCACTACATCAAATTGGCGCAACTACCATCTCCAGTGCAGGACTACCCTCTCTACCAACATCTACCAATGCAGTGGCAGCTGCAGCAGCAGCCTACAATTTGTCTAATATTAATCAGATGTCTTCAATATACAATCAGTGGGCCAGCATGGTTAACAACATCGGCTCTCTCAACGGGATGAATGGCATTAACGGAATGAACAATATGGCTGCTGTTGCCGCAGCATATGGCAACAATCCCAGCATGCAGTCCCTGCTGGCATCTCTGAGTTCAGAGCAAGCCAGGAGGCTTGGTGTAAATCTCCCTGGATTATCCCCACACAACAACCTTACGGCTGCTGTAGCTGCAGCTGCAGCTCACCAACAGCATGCGGTTGCCACCGCCGCTAGGACTCTGAGATCACATTCTACTTCCACCACGCAAGCTAATCGCCAGTGAGTCTTTTTGGTTCATAATTATATCTAAATATTTATTAATAGGTACGTTATTTATTAGTAAATAATGCTTATAAATTAATAAATATAAATATTTATTTAAAGATATGCTACATGTAGTATCTACGCTGCTATGTATGTAATCCAATAGTATTTATGAGTACATATTTAAAAGTTATTTAGTTATTTATGTTCAAATATGTACAAATAAAAAGAATAAATTTGCAAATTTACAATTGCCTCACTTGAGATGTTCTTTCTATGTGAACGGTTGCTAAACGAAGCAGTAAAATTTGTTTTATTTATTGTTATTAGATTGTGGCCATAGTGAATAATCATTATAAAGTTATCAATCTCCTATTGATTACCTTCTCCCGCAGTTCAACCACAATGAGCAGCAGCAGCAGCAGCAACAAACAAGCCACTGCTCATCAACAACAACAGCAACAACTCGTTAACAATTTAAACCAATTGGGCTACAGCAACTACCTGAGTCAGCAACAGTCTGCTATGGACTCACTCTTATCCAGCACTCAGAGAAATGCATACGGCGGTGTCTCAGTCCAGCCGCCGGCAGCTCACAGTAACTCGTCCAGCTCTGCCCACCATGTCAGAAATGTGAGTGTGCACGCAGGCAAATGAGTGGGTGATTATCTAAATAGGGATGCATTTTTTGCCCTTGTAAGTGGGTCATCATGACCCAGGTCAGCCCAAAAAAGGGCGTTTTACGGTTGCGTCAGATTAGATGCTGGGTTGAGAGTTTTTTTGGATAATGTGACCCATTCATTTTTCTCAGTGTGTCAGCCTTCTTCTCTGGCATCCACTTGAGATAATATTGAAAGCAGTTAATTTTGAGCTCATAACTGCCACAGCCAATCACTGACTTCTTATCAAGCAAAACCCACCAATCACGGACAATAACTCAACCGTTACATATATAGGCTGCTACGTGTACTTGGTACTCTGTGTACTTGCAAGTTTTTTCCATTTACATCACTTATAGACTTCATAAAGATCTGCAGAAACATGTCCAATATGTACTAGATAATAGGCATTAAAATACAAAATTCTATTAACTTTTTAATTTTAAAATTTCAAATGCAACACTCTCCCATATTTTCTACGGCACTAAAAGCTTCAACTTGAACACTTTCTCCTATTTTTACAGGGCGTTCACGGCAGTAAAAGCAGCAGCAACGGCAGCAGCAGCAGCAACAACAACAACAGCAGCAAAGCCCCTCCTCCCCTTATCCCCGTGAACGGCAGCACCGGCGGGGGCGGGGGCCACAAGGGCACCCCGCGCACGGTGGTCACGGGGGTGGACAAGCATAAGCTGGTGGACGTGCCGGCATATCGTCCTGACCATTCAAGGCGGGAGCTGCCTTACATTGTCCGCAAGGTTAGGACTTAGCCTTGTGATAGTCTGAGAAATGAGCGAACTATTCATTATATTTGCACAGATTATATCGTATATTACGGTTATATCATATATAAAAAATATGTAGGATCTCTCTATGATTTCGTCCGCTTATAGGCTGTTATAAGTCCACTTATAACAAAAATATGTAGGAAATGCCACAATTTTATCCTCCTGACCATTCAAGGCCGGAACTGCCTTACATTGTCCGCAAGGTCAGGAGGATTTAGCCATGTGATACTCAGAAAAATGAGTGAAATTTTCTCCACATCTCGATGCACTTATTTGCGCATATATATATGGCTCAGCCGTGAAATAAAATTCCATTTGAGCGGAATGTGGATTCACTATGATTAATTATTTTCAGTGAATATGTGCTCATAATTTCCTTCTGGTTGATATTTATTTATTTTTAGATTTTGGTTGGCACACCCCGGTTTAATCAAAGTTAACTTTAAAGATAATTAGTTAATTTTAATGATAATTGAGGATCCTCTAGGTTAATATTTCTCTGTTTTCAGATGGTTGGTGGCACTTGCCGGTTTAATAATTATCAAAGTTTAATCAAACTTTAAAGATGATAGTTAATTTTAATGATAATTGATGATCCTCTAGATTAATATTTCTCTGTTTCCAGATGGTGGTTGGCACCCGGCAGGTGCTGTGCATTAACCACGTGGCCTACAACTTCGGTGCCACCAGCATGGTGGCCCTGCAGGACCTCATCAACGAGTTCTTCCCAACCGCCACCCTGGCCAGCTGCATAGAAGTCTTCACTAACGTCCTCTCTATTGTTGTTTATAAGGCAAACTGGTGAGTGTTTGTGCTGCATAGAAGTCTTCACTAACGTCCTCTCTATTGTTGTTTATAAGGCAAACTGGTGAGTGTTTGTGCTGCATAGAAGTCTTCACCAACGTCCTCTCTATTGTTGTTTGTAAGGCAAACTGGTGAGTGTTTGTGCTGCGTAGAAGTCTTCACTAACGTCCTATTTATTCTTAATTACGAGGCAAACTGTGTGTTTGTTGACTAAGTGCCATTAAAGGAGTCGTTTTAAAATTTAAAATCACATTTATACATTTACTAGGCAAGCTGATTTATTAACTGTTGTATACTGCATTGTGCAATTCTACATCAACTCGGTACGATTATTATTATGTTATAAAATTATGCAGTTAAAGCTGTCTTAAAGTGTAAAGTTAGTGAATTGACTAAGCAAGCTGAACTGGTGAGATTTTTCTGTTTCTCGATGCACAAAGTATGCTACTGGCGATTATATTGTTTGTTGAACTGAGCTTTATTAATATGGCATCATTTGGCATAATATATATTACATTATTTAACTTCTGTCAGACTGCATTGTTACAATTGTTTCGAACCCCAGTACAATTATAATTTTTTAAATTATGCGGGCTGAACGACTGTATGATTTTTTTGCTCTCTAATGTAAAAAGTATTCTAATGACGTTTGTTTCAATCTCAACACGATTTATATGACGCCTGATTTTTAATTTTCTATGCATCGCAATGCAAACCTTTTTTTTAAAGTGTTTAATTGTATGGTGTATGCAATCCATACGTATCACAATGCAAACAATTTTGAAGCTTTCAATTGTAACGTAAACGCAATTGATTCCCAAACTTAACAGAGCACTCATAGACAAGCATCTTCCTGAAGAAGCGCGTTGCATGTGCTTTTGTTTAGCAAAAGGTGAATGCTTTATCGCTTTGTCACCACCATTGAGCTATTCTGAGCCATCTATCGAGCTGAAGTTCGAAATAACAAATGAATAAATCGGCTAATCAGAGTCTCTTTTCACGCAACCAAATTGTGAATTATGTTCCATCAGCGGCCGCCTGTTGTGAACCACCTGCGGTTCACAACAGTTGAACAGAACGGCCTATTAGCATCAAATTATGAATCATATTGTGAATTATGTACACAGGCACCAAGTCTACGCATTGATGGAGGCCTGGGGCACGGACTCCACCCCCGATGTGGTTCCCCTCATCTACTCCGAGGACTTGGTTCGTTCCCTCACACAAATGAAGTATATCTTCCAGCGAAATCCAGCTGGCCTCTCGACCGCCGCGCAGAACAGCTCCAAGAGGATACGCACCACTTGATGGGACGGGACTCTAGACCCTTTTTTTCCTTTGTAGTGGGACGGGACCTTAGATCCTTTTGTTGTTTTCTAGTGGGAAGAACCGTAGGCCCTTTTGTTCCTTTGTAGTGGGACGGGACCTTAGATCCTTTTGTTCTCTTCTAGTGGGAAGAACCGTAGGCTTTTTTTCCTTTGTAGTGGGACGGGACCTTAGACCCTCCTGTTCCTTTCTATTGAGACGAGACCCTTTGGTTACTTTCTAGTGGGACAGGACCTTAGACCATTCAGTTTCTTTCTTGTGGGATGTGACCCTAGACCCTTCAATTCCATTCTAGCGACCGCGAGGTCTCATAAAGATCCCTTGATCAGCGTACTATATTCTATGACCTGCGTTATTATACGACTGTACAATTTATTATGTTCGTTTCATGTGGTGTTTCTTGCAATAATGCCTACGATGGGGCGAGTCATGTCACGCTGATGTTAGATCTGATATGGTCTATTTTAAACCTGTGCATTTTTTTTCTTTTGTAACGGAGAAGCTAACACAGGAAACTTTTGCGCTTCGTTTGATTTTTGCCGCAAAGACGCTCGTTATGTAGGAATGCTGCACAATGTTTGTTGATCACTTTGATCGAATGCGGAAATGAATGATCTAGGCAAAGAAATTGATAACTTATTAATTATCTTTGTTGCTTCTGTAGTTCAATGGAATCTTTAACATATGCTAGTTAACTCTCGACGGTGGTTAAATATTGTGTTTGTTTCTATTCACGTTGTTGATAGGCTAAATCTGGTCTTCATCTATGCATTAAATATTTTTAAGAAAATAAGACCCATGTGCGAACAGTATGCCATTCTGAATGTATGCTTTGTGGTTATATTTTGTTCTCTTGTTAGCAAGTCGCTCTCGCATTAATGGCACTGAAAAAATTCTGCTTACAAAAGAAGAAATTCAATGCAACTGAGAATTCTGAGGAAGTAAATTTTCTTGACAGCAAATATTTAGTACAGTGATCGTTCTTGATTTAAGCTATACGTTGTTCATGTATGTTCCTTTTTTGTGGTTATAAATTCTTATACCGGTGAAACACATTCTGGACACGAATAACATTGATTAATCAATCAGAATTGCATGGTTGCATCTAATTTCATTTTAAATGCAGTCACTCCAGAGTTACCTCGCAGCCACTCTCAATGACTGTGTAGACACGTGCATGACTGCATACAGTTAATCATTCGAGTTCAGTCAGGACTGTCCGCATAACTGCTATTTGTTATATGCCACGAAACTGTAAAATTTCAATTAAGGTGCCCATTTGATGGATTAGCAATATGATAGTACGTATACACTGAGAGTATAGATACATTGGAAATAAATTTGTTGTATTACATTTCGTGACCGCTAATATGTCAGTCAGTGAATATTTTGATGTCATATTAACATGGTTTTTAGGTCGTCATAGAGCGACCTTCTAATGAGCTGTGTACGAGGATACCCAAAGTGAAATGGTATATGCCTCGCAACTTCCACATTGGGTCAAAATAACCGCGTTTTTTAATATGAAGGAGGTAGTCGTTGTGATGATCAGAATGGTTGTCTGCTAACAACATTCTCTTTACACTCCGAGAAATAAGGGAGATTTTGTCCAAATAGCGATACACCTTTTCTATATGGCGGATCACCATGACCCAGTTTGGCCCGTCAAAAGAGCGTATCAGCACTGACATGTCTGCCCTGTGCTCGTGCTGTGGCTAAGAAAATGTGTCTCTTATTTGGACAAAATAACCCATTCAATATTCTGAGTGTAGGAAAGAGCACAATGCATTTGTATCTATTACTTTGATTCTGGTCAATTGTGTTATTTATTCCCTGAAATATCTATTATCTTGGAAGCAACTTCATGCTCCTCTTTTTCATAAAGTTAATCCTCTTGGCCTCCTCTTTTTCGGTATATTTGGCCTCGTATTGTTGTCCCTTCTCATTTGTGTCCTCAGTTTTGCCTTGAGCAACGTGATGCAAGTCTTTATTGTTGCGTTTGTGATATATTCTGCTTTGCATTTTTCTAAACAAAGTTTATCTATATGAAATTTTATTGTGGTCTATAATTTCAATTATGCTTGCAGCAAATTTCATAGCATTGTCATAAGGGACAAAAGTGACGATGTTTTGCTGAAAGTTGAAATATTTGGTAGAAGTTGAAAATAATAACAAAATGATGAAAATGAAATAAATTTATATTCACATGCCAAGACCACTCATAAAGACTAACGATGAGAAACAAATTATTTGGGTTTAAAGCTTAATCAGTTGCGATAAATAACATTTCAGAAATAATCTTGAAATGACGGATCCTCGAAATTGCACTTTGTATGTAATATTTCCTATACCCTATACACATCCCGTTAGTATCAAAAATTGATAGACTACTCCAATATTTTTCTTAGTGATGATTAAATTCACTGATGAGCAAGTAAATATTTTAACGAATCTGAACTAAAATTGATCACTTATTTTTCATTGGTTATCAGAGATTGGTTCTCATACTAACTTGTTTTGTTCAATACTGCAAATAAAATCTTATCAATGAAATGATTGCTATCACCAAAATGTTGGGTGTAAATTGTTTCATATTTGATATTCAAAACTTCGGAGATCTCATGTATTGAAGATCAGACTCTTGAATTTGATTCGCCTAGACCATCATTCTTTAGGGCCGCTGTCTGGTTGCTCTTTAGGGCCGCTGCCTGTTTGCTCTTTAGGGCCGCTGTCTGGTTGCTCTTTAGGGCCGCTGCCTGGTTGCTCTTTAGGGCCGCTGCCTGGTTGCTCTTTAGGGCCGCTGTCTGGTTGCTCTTTAGGGCCGCTGTCTGGTTGCTCTTTAGGGCCGCTGCCTGGTTGCTCTTTAGGGCCGCTGCCTGGTTGCTCTTTAGGGCCGCTGTCTGGTTGCTCTTTAGGGCCACTGCATCAACTCTCTGAGAAAAAAACCCTCTCAAGAAATGCTCTCTGCTAAAGTTCGGCCCACATCATACTATGAGATTGGTACACTCAGAATTAACGGTGGGTTTTTGTCACGACATGAGTAGATATTCTGCTAACATTACAATATACATTTGACTTGGAGATACAGTTGTAAAAAAATGGTTTTGTTTTTCTCACTTAACGGTTTTTGTTTTCGTATGACTCATCTTCTACAAGTATTTTGATGTGTGAAAATACTTGAGCCAGGTGATATTTTTTTTATCAGATACAACTTGTTTGATAGTCACGTCTCCTGCCCTGTTGAGAACTACTGCGCCGGTCTCTATCTGGATTCTACAGTTGTTTTTTTTTCATTCATTCGAAATCTACCCTGGATTAACTTGAACTCAAGTGTTTATAAGTGAGACTGTAATTCTTCATGTAATTTATAATATTTATATAGTTATTATGTAATCGGAGGGACTCGAAAGCTTCTTGTAAGAATGAATCACATTGAAGGTGCACTGCTGGCGGCCTTGGTTAAAGCATATTAATGTTCCACGGTCCTTTTTGATGGAATAAGTTCTACTCGGTGTCATTTATTTATTTATGCAGTCCCTGAATCTGCTTGTAAACTTTTGATAACATTCTCGCACAACTTTTTGGCAAAGCGAAACCTGCTGGAAAATTTTTTGCAAACGGAAACCTATTTGCAATTTTTTGCAATTGGAAACCGGTTGCCTTTTTTATGTGAAAACCTGTTAGCAAAATTTTCTGCTAATGCAAACCTATTTGTAAATTTCTCCGCAAATGGAAACCCTTTTCTAAAGCGCAACGCTTAAAACACACATAGTAGGCCTGCAATTAGTTGATCTTGATTGCTACTCGAGTGTAGACATGTCGTATAATGGTTCCGTTATAAAGAGTAAGTGATGGACTTTTGCATATCCAAGAAAGATTTCTAAGACGAGCTGTTGTGTACAATATTTCATGTTTTGTGCTGCGATATTCTACGTGTATTATAGTTATGAGCAAGCCTACGGTGCAGCATATGAATGCGTTGTGCCTGTCAATCATAGTTACTAGCTGACGTTATCAAATGATCAATGTAATCTCCCTCAGGTGTAGAAAATCATAGGCAATTTGCTGTATGAGCTTAGGAATAACGGTAGCTGTTCGTTGCTATATAAGTAGTGTTGTGTTTACGCTTCTTCTACAGATTTTTTTCCTAGTGAACTAATATGCTATTTATACAAATGGAGGGAGGGAAATCATTATTAGCCGAAATTTATTGGCTCAATTTAAAGTTATTCAAGTTCAGCTTCATTTGACCCTCATTCTATTATTACAGGAATATTATATCTGTTGTTGGGTATGAAGTAGTTGCTCATATTTTGCATGGGTTGCAAATTGAGCAAGTTAATAACAATTGATCTTTATTTTTGTTATTTTATTCGTAATTCACCTGTGCGAAAATTTTCCTAAATATATTTTGAGTGAAAATCTCTAAGCTAATAATTTTGAACGACGATTCACTTTTGAACGAATTAATGTTCCGAACGACTCAGTAATTTTCAAGTAAAACTCGACGGTTTGGCTCATACGCGGCCGATGACGTTGAATCTATGTAATATTTTCTGCCTTCTTTTTCCTTTAATAATTTGAAGGTGCTTTAGTTGAAGCACATTTACAAACATAGGATGTCAGGTGCTTGATGTCTTGCTTGTATTTTACCTCCATACCAAATACGTAGTTTTATTTTTTTCGCCCAGATTTAGCTATTTATATTGGTGTAGTTGGCGTTGCTACTGATTGTATATTAATTGTAATTAGAGAACACTGATGGATTTAACAGGGAAAGATATTCGTTTTGTGTTGTTATTTTTGTAAATAAAAGTACAAATTGACTGCATTATTTAAAGTCCTTCGTTGACTTTGAAGGCGGTCCTATGGTGACCACGGCGAACTTATGGCTCTGGCTTTATCGACCTGTCGGCGTGCTTGACACGGTCGACCACGCCACTTTGTTGCGTCGACTTGACGTATCATTCGGCCTCCGCGATACGGTGCTGCGATGGTTCAGAGTCCTATCTCAGCAATAGATTCCGATGCGTTCGACATGGAAAGTCTTCTTCAACGCCATCGTTGGTGACTTGAGACGTACCACAGGGATCAGTTCTCGGCCCAATCCTCTTCCTGTTATATACTGTCGACGACTCGACGTATTGCACGTAATTGATTCACATAGCTTGAATCCTCATATTTTCGCCGATGACACTCAAATTTATGGCTACTGTGCACAGGCTGACGCTGCAGCGTTGCAGGACCAGATGTCTGCAATGCTATCGGCGCCCATGTCTTTCTGCATGGGCGCCGTCTCAGACTGGAACCGCTCCAACCTGCTCCAGCTCAATGCATCAAAGACAGAATTCATTTGCTTTACAACTGCTCAGAGCCAGCATCAGCTTCCGACCAACCTTGTTCGCGTGGGCAACGAGTTTGTCATGCCTGGTCTTCAATTAGCAACCTTGGCGTTCTGCTGGACTCTGAATTTTCTATGAACAATCACCTTGCCAAAGTCACCACCGCTTGTTTCGGTGCTCTGCGACGAATACGTACCGTCCCGAGGCTCTCGTGGTGGCGCTCTTTCTGACCAGATTGGACTTTGGCAATGCCATACTCTATGGACTTGCGACCACTGCACTCAAGAAACTGCAATCCGTAATGAACGCTGCTGCGCGACTCGTGTGCAATAAGCGAAAATTCGACCACGTGACGCCGATATTGCGCAATATCCACTGGCTGCACATGCAGCAGCGCACGCAGTTCAAGGTCGCTGTACCACGTTCCGATGCCTTCACGGCCTGGCGCCTTTTTATTTCACGGAATGTCTGCAGCGTGTGTCGGTTTTGCCTTCTAGAAGACGACTACGTTCGTCAACAACTGCGGACCTCGTCGATCCATCTCCCGTCGGCGACAGAGCGCTCCCGGTCGCCGCCACCACAACCTGAACCAGTCTACCGGGGCACCGGCTTCCGTAACATCGGCGCCGTTGCAGGTGTCTCGTCGTCGTCTAAAGAAGGAACTATTTCGTAGAGCGTATAAATCAAGCGCTTAGTCATCTGCATCGGTTCTCATCCTTTCAAATGTCTGTTAATTTCTTTATTGTTATCAAACTTATGAGTAACGTACCTTCGATATTCGTTTGAATCAAACGATACGATAAATGCTTGGTAGAATAATAATAATACTTTAACGTCTTAACGTTGATATCTTAAATTAATTAAATGATAAACTTGCCCTGCCCTCATTTGGAAAAATAATGGACTAGAGATGAATTCTGTCTAGTCTTACATGATAGAATTTTTCGGTGACACGCTGCGTGCAAACGAATATTGTTGCACTTATTCAACATATTTCTCGTTTTTAATTAACCGAGTCACGACAAGAAATTATAACGCTCATCGTTGCCGTGAGTATTGCTTTTTACTTATGGACTTTTGCTATAGTTGAAATGTCTTAGGTATTTGTGATCAACAACAATTTCGTTAGAATAGAAGTGTCGGCGTTGAAGAAATAGGCCCATGGCCTGTTGCCGATTCTTGAACTTTTCGTGACTTGATTCACAAGGGATCCGGCCTTTGGAACCCGATCTTCCCATAGCTGACGATTGATTGAGATAGCTGCAGGACTTATTGCCTGGTCCGTAATTTGCTAGGTATTTTAAGACTGAACATATGCTCCTGCATAGCTTCGTCTAGTCTGTTTTTGAAGATGTTCATACTCGGAGCGTCAACGATGCTATCAGGAAGGCTGTTCCACATGTCGGTGGCTCGAAGCGAGAAGAAATTTTGTCGCATGGATGTGTTCCAACGCTGTTTTTTTTAGTTTATAGCCGTGGCCCCTGGTGTTGGTTCTTGTTTCAAATTCTAGTAATCCTTCTGGGACCTTGTATAAGTCATGAGTATACTTGTATACTTCAATGAGGTCCCCAATTAGTTTATGTGATTTTAGCAACTCCTGACAATTTATGCATTACCGTTTAGCGATTTCAAATGATGATGTAATATCGGTACGAATATTGGAGCTTTTTATTTAAGAATAGACTATATTTTTTATAAACTGTATGTTTTTGAATGTGCTACTTCTCTAATTATGATGCCTATGCTGAGTTCTCGTTTACAAATGGCATAGTGCGCAGAATGGCGGACCGCAACACACCCGAGAACAATGGCCCACTGCTCAAATTCGGTGACATCCATCCTCATTGACGTCTAGGTGGCAACTAGTGTTCAAAGCGCGCAGTCTCAAACAACCGAGTACAAAAGTAGTGTAAACGGTTGTGCGCGGTGAGGCACTGCAGGTCTGCAGCAAACGACTCAAAGCGCATGTCGTTGCCACTAGTGTAAACGGGCTTTTAAAACGCAACTGCCACTTATCAGCCCAGTCAACCAGCCTGTCAAGATCACCTTGCAACTGTACTTTTTGCGACGTATTCTTCACTGTATTATAAATTTTTGTGTCGTCAGCATACATCGAGCAAACGCTAGGCACAGCTTCTGGCAGATCGTTTATAAACGCAACGAATAGAATAGGTCCGAGAACGCTTCCTTGTGGCGCGCCGCTGCGCACTGAAGCCCAGTCTGATACGGACCCATTAATACTGACACGTTGTCGCCTCCCTACTAGAAAATCTCTGATCCATATGAGCATTCGTTGGTTAGAGCATTCGGATGCGATTATAAACGAAAGGAAGCCAATAGAGTTCAAGGGTGATGCTGAGTGAAGGTGGGTGGAAAATATTTTCTGTTTCAAGTGGAAAGGCTGACCTGGACCTGGAGTACCTCCGAAGAATTTAAGATGAGTAGGATGGGTGAACAGATGAGTGAGATGGGTTATCAGATGAAGGAGATGGGTTAACAAATGAAACAGATAGGTTAACAGATGAGCTGGGGTTAACAAATAAAACAGATGGGTTAACAGATGAGTCAAATGGGTTAACAGACGAGTCAGATGGGTTAACAGTTGAGTCATACGGGTTAACAAGTGAAACTGACGGGCTATTACACGACGATAATGGCCTATATAGATGACACTGAAGGGTTTAAAGATCACATAGATAGCCGCGGTTTTCAACTTTTCAGACGACTGAGATGGGCTTACCTCTCTCTTGACTCAAACCGTAGTTGGTCGTGTAAATCCGCCTATTATTTTGAGACAAGATTGTTACGTTTGGTCATTCAATAATGATGCATTTCTCAAGTTTACATAATTTAGACTGACTGTGCCAGTTTTGGTGCTGAGCTAATCGTGATCTGCGCAAATTATTGATACAGACAAACTCATTCATGACGTTATTGTTCGATAAAATATTTTAGTAGTCAGTGAATGGAACATCCTTGTGATGAGCAAAAATTAATATTTAGAAAAAAAGTATTATCACATCAATTCGTTTGGCGATACTTTCTGGCTTTTCACTTTAATGCTTAAACAGATACTATATAATGTTGCATGGAACCGCCGGTATACTGTTATCAGTTTTCTTAAATAATTAACTTACCAATAAATGTAAAAATTGACTTCTTAAGTGATAGTCACTCCAAAATTTTCGAAAATGAAAACATGATTTATAGAAAATGAGGATAAGAGAACCAAAATACGCTACTCAAGTTATGATTCATGGTGAGAGAACCAGACAGAGTTTCAAACCATTTCCATAATTACGCCAGCGTGTCTACGTTTCAGCAACTAACTTCCAACTTGCGGACGCCGCTGACAGTCGCTCGCGGTTGCCCAAGCATTTCCTGAGTTTCCGTCCTGTTTGAGGCCACACAGTCTTGCGTCACAACTTACGGTGTTGGATAATCTCGTGTTGAAGTAACGTTACTCTCTCCTCGTTGCCTACTTATTTATGTTTGTAATTTGTTTAATTCAAAATTTCTTACTTATTTTAAACTATTATGGGTGAAATTTCGGCGTTATCTCGCGATTAAGCCATGTTGCTAGTTCATTGTTATTTATTTACTTGTTTAGTACTAAAATGTTTCTTTATTTTATTTAGTCACGACTGCCGCCCAGGTCTGATTTATTTACAGGGTGGTATACTGAAGTGGGAATATATGAATAAAAGAATAAGCAAATTGTCAGTAAAACTAATTCTCTGTGGTCGTCAATCAAACCTGTTTAAGAGTACAAATTCTTCCAATGCTTATACATATATGAACAAGTGTACATAAATTGGATCTAAAAATCTGAAACTCGACTTTTCTATTATATTTGACTACTAATTTCAAACTAATGAAGTTATCAGGCTGGATGGATGTTTTCGAACATATGATGCAATATTCCCAGAATTCCACCATTATAGAATCGTGTCGCCTTGACATGTAGACGATGAATGATACTATATGGAAAAAATAATGCCTATCCTAACATGCCCAACAACAATAATTAAGCCTTCTAATTACTATTGTTTAATTAGTAAAACCGATTTATTGCACTGTTGCTTGCAAAAAATGTGATCGCGTCAGAATTCACAAATGCGTCGCCCTTAGTGCCGTGAGGCGATTTCTCATTAGTATTCTCTATATGATAAATCGTTTATTTTCATTGTAATGCGGTGATAAGAAAAAAGTGACTACGTCTGTGTTATTAACGCATTTATAATAGTTTATTGGAAATTATATTTCCATTTTAGGTGTTCCGTGATGTCGCAGTCAGATAATTTAATCAAGTAAAATAATTCACAGAGCCATATCCAACAGTGATTTTCAAATTTGATGACATTTTAGCAATGTTACATTTTTAACGGTATAAAGTTCGATGTGGCTTTCTGTCGCTCCTAACTAGCGGTTAGCCGCAGCATGAGTAACTAACTACTTCGTTCGCAAAACGCAAAGATCGACGCCAAATTTAATCACGTGGGAGGACACACTCATTTCTTGTAAAAATTTTGTAGCATATCAATTAAATCTTAAAAAAATGAATTTGCTGCATTCGCGACAAAAACAGACGGTCAACTTCACACACGACTTACGTGCTAAAATCATCAGCAGGGCGGGTGACTGGCGAAATCGATAGAGCTTCTAATTTATTAAATTAATTCTCACCAGAAGCTCAACTTAAACTAATTAAAGTGACATAATATTCTATGCTGATCTTAAATCATGTTCAAATGTGAAATTATAATTATCATTTTACATGGTGGACGCAATTGTGGTAACTCGCCTTATTAACTATAAGGTTTATGGTACACGTGACCAGTAATGGCGGCCAGTACAACTATCAAATGAAAACCCGCCATAACCGCCACTAATTTTCAAGTTACTGGCCTCGTGTAAGCGCGTGTGGGTCCTTCCCTGGCCTAGCTGTAGCGCCTATACACGAGGTCAATAGCTCGGTAAATAGTGGCGGTTAGTATTTGGAAGTATTGCTGGCCGCCACTCCTCGTGTCTCATTGATGTTGGTAGTTCGCGTGACTGCACGAAGAGAAATGCACGAGACTTCGTCCTAATTTCGATGTATTTCTTGCGCTTGTGTGGGTCATCCTGACTCGGTTCGGTCCGGCAAAATGGGGTAAAAGTACCTCGTCTGCTCTCTGCTCGTGCGCTGGGTTAGAAAGAGTGTCATAATTTGAACAAATGACCGATTCAATTCTGACGAGACTACACTTGCCCGTCCTTCAACCCTGGGCATACTTGTCATCTCGAACGCATCCTGACGCTTCTCATTTCCGATCTAGTGAACTTGCGACATTTTCCGATGACCCTTGTTACTGCATTTCAATCCGAGTTCGTTGAATTAATAGAATTGTAGCTTCTAGCCGATATTTGACTGCCTGACTAAATAGTCAAATGTCACCATTGTCACCTGATAAATAATAGCTAATGTTGCGTGGGTACAATTTTTTGTTCAAAGCGAGTATGACGAATAATAATACTGCACGAGCTGCAATAACGCATAAATATAGGTTAGGTTAGTTAAGAGACGAATTAAAAAAACGTATTTCTCGAACACATCGCCTAAGAAAACGGCGATATAATCACAAATTTAAAGGGAAAATGGGAGGTACATTCAAAGAAATGAGTGAGGCTTTGTCCATTAAGCGATGCACTGTTTGCTCTTGTGTGGGTCATATATATACTGTCCCAGTGTGGCCCGAAAAATTATAGGCTTAATTAACAGTGATACATCGCTCTCTGCTTGTGTAGTGGATACGAAAGTGTCAATATTTGGACATATGCACCGTGTAATTTTTTGAGTGTAACACAGTCAGGTTTCCTTCCACCTGTACTATAAATGTTTGACGGTGAAGAGAATATTTTTTAATCGGTTTTATTGAAGGTCGGCTTCTCATTGAGCTTCACTAACGTTCTCTAGATCAGGAAATGAATTTTTTCTTAGTGGCTCAGCTATGTACATCCTATTTAGATGTTCATTTACTTCGAACAAATCACGTCATATGGAGATGCCTCGTTCAATTAATAATCATAAATAGTTAATTTAAATTTGATCATCATAGATATATTTTCGGGTTCAATCGAAGTTTTATTGATGCATAACTAAATTGGCGTACATGAGCAATCTGGAGCCTGCACAATCGCGGCATACCGCCGAGTCATGCCTTCCTGCCATGAATAACTACTTGTTATTCGTAATTAAGTTTCGATCTCTCACTTTATGGGTTTTTAACTTCTATTAATCTTTCATTTTTTCGGTATTTCTCTCATATCGGTCTTTTACTTTCATCGGTCTCCATTTTTTATCGGCCTTTTTTATCAGATTTTTACTATCACCGATATTTACTCAATCGATCTTTTTCTTCTATCGGTCTTTATTCTATCGTTTGTTTCTTCTTTTAACTATCGTTATTCTGCTTCGACCTTCGAATATTTAACTTAAGCACGCCTCAGATAATCACGGTTGAACGAGTCCAACAGAAGCAGCCAATAGTCTATGCATGGCGGGAATTACTTTCAATGTAGGAAATATCACGAATAACGGAATATTGCTTGCCTTGGAATAACTTGGAAGTACTCAAAAATAGCATCAGCTTGTAGCATCCGCTCATGGTGATGCATCCTATATAGCATAGCTTCCTATAGTATCATATCCTTCATGAGAATTTATTAAAGGTCGTCGCTTCCTTGTGGGACATTCCAAGGCCTCTTCTTGGATGTCCGCATTGACCGTGAAAACGAGATGCAATTATGAGTAAATTTAACGAAAGTCTGCATTTAAGATTTTTAAGATTTATTGAAAGTCTGGATTTTTGTTAACGTTGATGATCAAACTATCGACATTTTGTATTTACTGAGCATTCATTTCCCATACTGCTCAAAGCCCCATTTATTATTGCGTAACGAATCGAGGTATATAGTTTAAAACTAGGCTCGTCAGTGGTCAGAAATGATAATTACTATTTCTAATATTTATTGATTTACCTTATTTCCATATATGGAAATGCAATAGCTATCACTGGAAAAAGTCATTGATTTCTATATCAGTCATAGACTGCAACGATTTCATCACACTGACACTACGGAAGCTCAAAACTCAAATTTAATTATAGACGCTACAATAAACTTTTTACTGTGCGAAGCGCAATAATTTTCGTAAAATACTTTAATTGATTTGCTATTTCAGTTCATGATGTACGCGCAATGTATTCAATTTTTTCAAAAAATGCTAAAATTAGCTTGTCTCATTATAGTCTTGTTGTATACTTTATTGTTCGAGTAGGAGACCGCGTGCTTAGTTCTATTGAATGTCTGGCCAATGCTAAGGCAGTTTAAAAGTTCTGACTAGAATCCTCAAAGAACTCGAGGATGTATAAATTAAAGTTAAGTTCTAGGCTAGGAGATGTGAATGGAATATCAAAACTGAGTTTGGGGTTTCCGATGAATCATCGTTTGTGCGTGGCTTGTTCGAATGCGCTGAGTTGCGTGATCAGACTTGAATATTTAATGACAGATTAATTGCTAGAAAATATCACGCGCTCAATGCACGTTTCCAATGATAAACAATTGCAAGATGATTATATATAGCAGCATAGATATGAAAGGTGAGTGTAATTTCTGAGCTTTATTTGCGTCAAAAGTTGGTTTGTAAATGCAAAAATGCTAAAAAAAGAAGTAAAGTGCTTACATTTTACCTTCGTTTACTGCTAAGCCCTCAATAATTTCGCAAATTAACTTTGCTCAAGTTTATTCTACACTCTAATTTTTTCAGGTTATAGAGAAATACTTCTTGCTTCTGACGTGTGGTAAATGCTGTGAACAGCTCTTCCTATTTCCTGCATGGTACTCTCGGCCGCTAGGGAAATCCTTACACCTCATGGCAGATCTTCAAATAGGTAAATACTAGGAATTCTTGGCAAGAGAGTGATAGCGCTGGGCGGTGGAGGTACACGAGGAAGGTCACGAGCAACAGGCAAGATTCTTAACCATATCCTGCTGCGGTACGCTCACTCTCGCAGTCGTGCTCAGGACACCGTAGGGAGTGCATCGCTTGTTCAGCGCAGATATCACGCCGACTTCTTGACTTGATATCTCAATTGTTTGAATGAATACATATTTTATTGTGGAAAACAGTGCAAGAATACCGATGTAATGGGGCACTTGAAGCACTGGTTAGTTTTGCTTCTTGCTCTGTATGTGAGGACAGTGAAAGCATTTCAGTATTCTGACTTGCAAGCTCTGAACGCAAGTTGTCTTCCAAAAGACAGCTGTGCTCTCGATAAAAATTCTCGCCTAACTTTCCCTCTGAACTGGAAAGAAAGGAATTGTATGTGTGATAGTCTTTGTGCTTATTATGGTGATTGCTGTCTCGATGCTCCGTCGTACAACAGAGAAGAACAAAGGACCGGTGTCAAATCGCAGACATGCGTGATACTTCGGAACTACGGCGGCGTCTACATGAAGCGTTCATGTGCCGCTGACTGGAACTTCGACGATAAAGTGGTTGAAAATCTGTGCAAGTCTGCGGTTCCCGACACCGGATACGATCGTCCAGACCCTTTGGTCTCAATGCCGGTCACGAGTCTTGATACTCGACTGACTTACGCCAACTATTACTGCGCATTGTGCAACCACGAGTCGGAAAACTTGACACCTTGGAAACCGCGAATAGAATGTCCAACTCTTATAAACGCTGATCTTAAAGAAAAGATGGATTTTGCAGAAGTATATCAGTCTTTAACATACAGCAACGACTCATGGGTCTTACCAGCAAATGAGTCGGGGACTGAGAAGTTCCACACGTGCTTCATAGATCCTTTCATTCCTGACGCCATTGTTGACGACGTTCGGCTGTGCAAGGAGACCGTATCTACGTGTCCCAGCGACTACAAGAATGACGAAGTAAAGGAGCTTTGTGATTCTTATACAGCTATTCTTTACCATGGTATGGACATTTACCGTAATTATCACTGTGCTCTTTGTAACAACGAGTCCAGTGACAGCCTGTCGTGTTACAGCAGGCAATACATTCGCTTTAATTTCAGAGATGAGTTTAATCCAGCCGCGTTTTCGATCCTCTTTGACTTCGAGGATGGAAACGGCAATAGTCGAGTGGGATTCAAGTGCGATGAAACTCAAGTTTGGGATCCATTCTTCAAGAAATGCCGGCAGGTGAAGTGTGCTCGTAAAGGCTCATCGTACCGAAATGGACGATGTCTATCGGTTGAGGAACCAAGTCAAGCAACCAATGTGGATAAGGGTGCAAATTCAACGGAAATGAATAAAGAAAACGACCGTTTTATCTACATAATCTCCCCCAACAATTCTATCCGTTCCAATGCTACTCACAATTCACAAAATATAATTGTGTTCCCAGATGAAATAGTCCCTATAACCACAGACTTATTCCCAAGCACAACTGAAGGAAGTCTCAAGCAGTCGTTGAATTGTAATCGTATTTTACTACCATTTGGAGAGTTCGAGTTTCGAGATAACAGTACAGTCTATGTTTCTAAATATGACAGACTTCTATCAGATGACGAGTTTGAGACACATAAAGACGGAATCTTGGTGTGCCTTACCGTCACCGAGTCGCAAAAATTCTCTTCTGTTATGGGCTGGATATCCTTGACAGGCTTGTGTGTGTCAATAGTTTGCCTATTGCTGCATCTAATTGCCTTTGTTTTGGTCTCCGAGATGCACAACTTATCTGGTAGGAACTTGGCTTCGCTGAGTTTGTGCTTGGTGGGTGCTTACATTTGCTTTATTCTTGCCGTCTTCGGCGAGGAAGGTAAACTGGAATGTGTTATCTTAGGCTGTGCCATGTACTACTTTTTCTTAGCATCTTTCTGTTGGATGAACGTGATGGCCTACGATATTTGGAAGACGCTTCGAGAAGCAACAAACGAATTTAAGTTATCGGCTGGCAAGCAATGGATGAGGTCTTTAGCTTACAGCGCCTACGCGTGGGTGTGTCCAGGATTGGCCTTGACCTTGGTGTGCGTCGTAGACGCTGTTGAGTGGCCAGGTTATCCTGACTCTTATTTGCCTAGAATCGGCGATCGACTTTGTTGGTTTGGAGAGCGCAAAGCCCTTCTCGTGTTCTTTGCCGCTCCTCTCATGCTCATCATGGTTATCAACGTTATTTTCTTCATTTTGTCAGCGCACATGATCGCAAGCACAACCTTATCGACGGCAAAGTTCTCAACACAACGCCAACACCAAAGTCTGTTCAAACTGTACATGCGGTTAGCCTTGCTGATGGGGTTAACGTGGATAGTCGGTATCCTAGCGGGCTATATCCAACAGGAGGTCTTATGGTACATTTTCATCGCACTAAACACTTTTCAGGGCGCTTTCATTTTCGCCGCTTTCACGTGCAAAAAGAGAACCATGAGCTTGCTCGGGTGCAGTAGAGCGCTGCGAAGAGCTTCGCCACGTACCATTATGGACGCTTCTAGGAGAAACTTGAGCGCTCGCCACTCGTCGGAGTCGAACGCCTCGCGATCTTCCGATGCTCAGCTGTCGCCTCATGCTGAAACGTCTTCAACAAGCATAGAATTGTGACTTGCTGTAAAATAAACTCCCATATCTCTTCTAAGTGTTCATTATCTATGAACTTTGTAAAAATACTAAAATTTCTACTCAATTTTCATTTGTACTGTTACCTCGCTCGCCTAGATTTCTTACACGATTCAATGAAAATCTGAGATGTGTAATCTGCTCAGAAATGATTAAACTCAAATTATGCTCAGAATCGGACGCTCAGAAACGTGTACCGTTGATTTAATAGTCATAAAATTTCGGATAGATTTTGAATGCTCGAATTGGACGGTTGAAATGTATTCTTGAAGAATAAATTAAAATTTGTACTTGTAATTATTTCAGGCTGTGCAGTCAGTATAAATGTTTCAAGCTATATGCCATTCAATGATTACTGGCATTAAATGGAGAAAATGGCACCCAATTTATTTATTTTCGATATATTTGAGACTTTTAGTATGAATTGTGAACGCTACCTATTACTGCTATATTTTGAGTGAAACAATTTATGTGCTAGAATTATGACGATTTGATGTTGAGCACTCAGGAGCACTCAAACTATTGTTTCCAACAATTTACTTAGTTTTATTAAATTTTGCCACTTACAACTAGGTTAACAGTTTAGCTGGTTTAACATCAATTACGAAATCGAATCATCAATTACGAATTACGTCCTATAATTTTAAATAGACACGAGCTTGGACCAAAGAGAGGTTACTTTGAATCGGTAATTTGAATTGGATAACACTTAACATTCACATAAGGAACATTCCTTTTTTATTTCGCATTCATGATTTTTATACATAAAATGTTTACTAATAGAATTGGTTAAGATCTCCGATAAAAAATATTCTACTCTGTATTCTCAATTGGGGTAAAATATCCTAAGCTCGTGCTTGTGAGTGAAGTGAGAAAAGTGTTTAGGTTTGAAAATTGATGTATGTTTTACATTTGTTCTCGACGCCATAATTTGTTATTTTGTAATCACTCATCATGCAATTTTCTCGCAACTTCCTTCACTGAATGAATTATTTCTCAGTGATTGTAGGATCATCTTGAAAATTAATTGATGTCTGCAATACTAGAATTCCCAAGTGCAACTAGTGTCGTGCAGAGCTCTACTTTGTATATAGTTAATATAGATAATATGCTGTAGTAGAGCATCATGTTTTTTGTGTATTTAGACGTAAACGATTCGGTTAAAATCAAAGTTCATATGCGTATCTCCTTAATACTAATGTTTAAACTAACTTGAATATTGCTCACTTTTCCTCAACTCATGTTCGTAACATGTTTTTTCTATCTAAGTCCTCTCCGACCAATGAAAATATAATGATCTCCCAGCATATTCTCACTATATAACTTCTTTGTGACCGATATTTTATGTAATGATGTTCGCTGGACACGAAACTTAAGCTTTACTAGCACTAAGTTCCTAGTAAGAACTTGATCGTTATATGTTTGTATATATATTGGTTCTTAATGGGTTACGAATGCGACTTTTTTTCGCAGTGTTTTTACAAATTAACGTTTTTTTTTGTTATTACGTAAATTCTGCCAATGATGAGGCAAAATTTAAAACTTGGATGTTCTTATGTTTGAAATGTTCGTTAAATTTTGTCGTTCTGAGGACCCGAATAATGATCGTAATTATTTATTGATGTTAGGAAGTCTACAGCTTGATTGCCTTCGATGCTTGATGTCTGGAATGAATTTTTTCACTTGCGTAACAAATTTTGAGTGATATAACAAAATAGCAAAGTTTTCCGCTGCATTGTAGAAAAGGACGTAAGTGTTTCAAGTTGATATGTTCCGTAAAATTTATCCGTAGTTCCGGGATGTTTGAAAACGATGACGTGGCTCCGCTAAATTCTCCAACTTCCCGTCTCTCGAATTAAAGTCTACGGACTCTGCGTTCCTAGTTTCATCTTAAGTCGTTTCTAACAGACTAGACAAAATATTTATTAAGAAGTTAGTAAGGATGATATTTTGGACATTGATAGTATACCTGTTTAAATAATGTTATACTGCTAATTTGTGATAAATAGATGAAAAATGAGCATACTTTTTTTTTAAAGTACCAGACCAATATTGTGATCCTTATCCATTACAGGTAGGGACATCATTTGTCTGACTCCAAAAATTGTTGTTACCATCACTTGAGTTACCATTCTGTCAATAATTGACTATAATTAATGGAATTTAAGTAAAGGAAACTGATGCAGCATCAGTCTTTATTGTTTGTATTTTCGGTGCCTAAGTTCGGAATTTGCAGAATTTGCAGGAGATTTGAAAGTTTATATAAGTTCAAAGTTATAAATATTTACCGTGTGACAAATTAAGCAACTGAGAAATTGATTGAGAGAACAAAAGGCAATTTTGTTGTGCAATTTTATTGCATATTCAACTGCCTAATGTATGCGCTATTGTAAAAACTTCTAAAATTAAAATTTTTTGACGATAGACGGTCGAACTGTATTATGTTATTAACTCAATGAGTCCTTATAACTGATAGGGTGCTAGTCCTAGCGTCTAAGATGTGGAGTTATCACTAATTGCCCTACAATAAATTTATGAACTAAAGTGTGTGTTACTTAGCCCTATTTTCCTACCGTGAGAAGTTTATTGCTATTAGTTAATAAAATTCAAACTTACTCTCACACAAGTGAGATTTTACCGTGCAAAATAGATTCTAAACATTAAACTTTGATTTATGACTACCTTTCTTTACATTAAAAAAAATTACAATTGATTAAGATGATTATTCCATCACTTGAATTTAACAAAGCTTTTTGTTTACCCAAGTTTCTGCAGATAAAAACCCCCCTACGTACGCCCACGCAAGACTCAAAGTAAGGATCTCAGATGGAAAATGTTCAGAGATTATATTTACAGTGAAAATTTTCAGCACTTAATTTTTGCCTCACAAAGTCAGACTATGGAAAATCACAACGATTTTCGAGAAGTAAAATTTAACTAAATAACAAGTTTGTAAATAATGTCTGTTTAGCTTTTGTTGTAGGCTGCGATTACGCTCAAACTTAATTAAAACGAATATTATTTGATGCTGTATTCGAGATTATTTTATTCTTTATGTTCTCGCTGCGACAAGATTTCTTCGAGTTGAAGAAGTTCGTTACTGACATTGCATCGCCTCGTTGATTCGTTGGGGCATTTTCCTTCAAAAGTTTCCGTAAGGCTGTGTTGTTTTTCGTTACCAAGCTTCATATTTCTTCGGGATTGATAACTCGCGGTGTGCGGAGCATCCTCGAATATTTCAAAATTAGGCACTTCTTTCGGAGATATTGATTTATCATTGTTTATCAATGGAAACAGAGATGATTTCGACGTTTTTGATGTACTTGAAAGCCGGGGAAGATTGTAGTAGAGTTCAGTCGACGATCCCATATTCGGCGAGCCCGGCACTTTTTGATTCATATGAAAATTTTCTGAAGAAGCGATCGTTGAAAAATTTCGTGATTGATTTTGAGTTCTGCTGTGTCGCTTGTGCAGTAATGTTTTTTGGCAATCCAGAGGTTTCCTATTTGATAGATCTTCGAAATGATCACAAACTGTTTCAGGTGATTGATAAAAAATTGTTGGAGTATCTGAAGAAACATCACTTTGCGCACAGTTTTTTGAGTCATCTTGAAGTGCAGTGTTACATTCACTGACATACTGTGGTCCATTCACCTCGACCTCACAGTCCAGCTCGTTTTTGGCAAGGTCTAGGGAGTTATCCGTCCAAGCAAGTTTCACGGTCGGAGGATGTAAATGCTGAGAACCGTGTTGTTCATTTTGTTGGTGAAATGCCATTTTGTTATCCAATCTTTGTTTGTGACTTACGTTTTGTGTCAAGCTAATTTCGCTTATGCCTGTGTATATACGATCATTGTTGTGATCTCGTCTAAACTTCTGATCACTTGGTAGCTTTAACGTTTTAATGACGTCTTCACTGTCATCTTTATAATTTATTCCCTTGGGACGAATTAGTTTGCGCGAATTCCGCATATCTTGACGTGGACTCAGATTTTTCTCTGCTGGATATTGAATCACTCTTTTTACTGTAGGGTTCGAAATGCCACGGTTATACCCAGAAACGTCCACAACCGTCTTGCTGTTTGCGTCAGAAAACTCTTTGTTGAAGCCTGATTGACCATGTGAAATATTTTGTGTTGCTTTATCGGAATTCTCGCTTATCCCAAGTAGCTTTGAAATCAGATGAAGTTCATCTGATTTTGAGTGCCAAGATGAGCTTATGTAGTTTTCTTCAGCACATTTAATATCATACATGTTCAATTTAGGCTGGTTGATGTCCTTGCTATAACCCCTGATCAAATTTACATCAGTATCTGCTAAGGAAAAGTCATGACATAAGTTTTCTGCGTAATGCTTCAGTTCTCTAATAATATTTTCTTTGGTAGGCTCAAGCAATTGGCTCGTTGGTTGGCAGTCTCGCTTAGCCTCATTTTGAGATTCTTGAAAATAATTTTTTGACTTGCTATTTGGTTCGTCATTTCCATTCAACTTTGATGTTTCTGTTTCGATATTATTCTGTATGTTCTGCACATTGATAAGATCATCGTTGACAGTCAAAGTTTCGATCTTTATAGATTCTTGATCATATGCAACAGTGTAGCGGATCTCGCTACATAGCACTAATATTATGCATAACATATCACTAATTCTTATATTTTTCATACTAACATAATATAACTAATTTTTATGTTTCTTATACTAACATTAATATTAACACTCACAATACACATTAAAGTCGTACATTTTAAATCATATTAAATAATTATAACATCATCACGAAAGTTTCGGAGAAAACAGCTTTATCGATGGCAACAGCTCGAGCCCCTTGCTCACTGGTTCTTTTACAGCCTCTCGTTCTATTCGCCTCCTGACTTCGTTTCGTCAACATCTCCCGTGTAAGCTCCGTAACTTAGAAATTATTCTGCTGTAGAATAGCTCTCATTCAATGTGTTAACACGTTCCCCGCGTATTGGGCCATATGTGTACCAATAGTGATATTCCACTGCTGCGTATTGGGACACCGGTGTACCAAACGCAGTATTATACGCCGTTTTGAAAAAACGCATGTAACTCGAAATTTCGCACTTAAACTTTCTCTTTTATAATGTTAATCTTCACTCAAAAAGTGGATTATTAAGTAAAACAAATCAATGGACAAAAATTTTATTCGTAAATCTCCTTGAACAAACGATAAGTAACTGTATAAATTCTAACTAATAATTCCCTTCTGTTCCCATCTATTCCCTAATATTCCCTTCTATTCTCTTTTATTCCTTCTATCCCCTTTTATTCCCTTCTATTCCCTTCTGTTCCCTTCTGTTCCCTTCTATTCCCTTCTGTTCCCTTCTGTTCCCTTCTATTCCCTTCTATTCAGTTCTATTCCTTTCTATTCCATTCTATCCCCTTCTATTCCATTCTATTTCCTTCTGTTCCCTTCTATTCCCTTCTATTCCCTTCTATTCCCTTCTGTTCCCTTCTGTTCCTTTCTGTTCCTTTCTATTCCCTTCTATTCCCTTCTATTCCCTTCTGATTCCTTTCTATTCCATTCTATCCCCTTCTATTCCATTCTATTTCCTTCTGTTCCTTTCTATTCCCTTCTATTCCCTTCTATTCCCTTCTGTTCCCTTCTGTTCCTTTCTGTTCCTTTCTATTCCCTTCTATTCCCTTCTATTCAGTTATATTCCCTTCTATTCCATTCTATCCCCTTCTATTCCCTTCTATTTCCTTCTGTTCCCTTCTATTTCCTTCTGTTCCCTTCTATTTCCTTCTATTCCCTTCTGTTCACTTCTATTCCGTTCTAGCTATTCCATTCTATTCTATTATGGTACATATATGGCTCAATAAATACTTGGTTCACCGGTGGTACAATACGCAAGAACAACATGTGGTTATAATTTGCTTGCGTAATGTACCACATGTGTCCCAACATTTTAAGTGCAGCTATGCAAAGCTGTGATGCCATAGAGCTGCACACACCTTCTTTTGTCACGGTCAATGGCGCCTAACTGAAGCAGCAACCACTGAAAGCCTTCCGCAATAAGGGAATACTGGGGAAATCTGGATACGCGGGGAACGTGTTAAGTATAAGAGTAAGGTTAGTTCAGAAGTCAGAGTCATTGCAAGTTGATGAATTAAATTAATGTATTAAAATTAGCGTGTTTTCATAAATATATTCTGCCGTAGAATAGCTCTCATTCAATGTGTTAAGTATAAGAGTAAAGTTAGTTCAGAAGTCGGAGTCATTGCAAGTTGAATAAATTAAATTAACGTATTAAATTAACGTGTTTTTCATGTCACAAATATAGCTCACGTGGCTTTAGCTCATTTGTGAAATGTTGTCGTGAAATGTGAATAGCGTATTAACAAAGGCCTTATTTCGCAGTTCTACGACATCTGTTTCCTGCAACGCATAAAATCAAGATCACGCGCAATCTCCCGAATCTAAGGCTATCTCTGTCGGCAACTTCTACTGTCTCGGCCATCACCTCTATCGGCGTCCTAAGCCAGCTTTCGCGCCAACTCGCACGCCGCCATCTTGCCGCTCCCCTGCGCCGTCCCTGTCTACTGACGCTCATCCTTCTACAACATCTGTTTCTTGCAACGCATAAAATCAAGATCACGCGCAATCTCCCGAATCTAAGGCTATACATCCCTAACCCTAGTTCGTCGAGATGGCGTAGTATGCGAATTCGATGGTAAAACTGCAAAACCGTACGTCCCCGCAAGCATGCGCCGCAAAATCTTCGAGCAAATTCACAATGTATCTCATCCCGGAGCGCGATCCTCGCTAAAGCAAGTGCGAGCTCGCTTATTTGGCCTCGCATAAACTCCGACATCAAACTGTGGACAAAATGTTGTCCTGCTTGTCAGCGTGCCAAGGTTACCCGACACAACGTCTCTGCTGTCTCCGCCATTCTCACTGAAGGCGGCAAGTTCGATCAATTACATGTGGATTTCGTAGGCCCGCTCCCTTATAATAAGGGTTACACCTATCTACTTACCATGATCGACAGAATCTCAAGGTGGACAGAAGCTGTACCTTAGGCAAACATCACCGCTGAAACCGTCGCAAATGCTATTCTGTACAATTGGATCTCTCGCTTTGGTGTTCCAGTATCTATCAGCTCAGATAGAGGAGCCCAATTTGAGAGCAGCATAATGCAAAGCCTCATGCAGACACTCGGATGCTTGCGGATAACTGCAACTGCATATCATCCTAGAGCAATGGTCTAATTGAAAGATTTCACAGACGTCTCAAGGATGCCCTAAGAGCCTCTGCTGATCCGCACCACTGGGTTGACAAACTACCTCTAATACAACTCTCGCTGCGCACTGCGATTCGCGATGACGGCCAGCCCAGCATGTCAGATATCGTGTACGGCACTCCTCTGCGCTTACCAATCGATCTTCTATTCAAGAACCAGCAACCCTTCCTCGATCCCTCATCCTACACAGAGCGTCTTCAAACATTCATGCAGTCAATTGGACCAATAAAAACACGCCCACCCTCATCTGCTTCCGTTTTTGTTCGCAACAATGCCAGAACTGGATTAACCCCGAACTATTCAGGACCATTTAAAGTCTTGAAAAGAACTAACAAATATTATCATGTCCAATTCCCAAACAGAACGGACACCGTCACCATCGATCGACTCAAGGCCGCTCACTTGCAGAACGATGTTTTCTCAAATGCTCATAACACCCCAATACGCGTGCCAATCCCTATCCCAGTCAACAATGCTTCAAATCCGGCGCCAATCAACCGAGCAGCTTCCGTGGCACCAATTCCAGAGGAGACAAGCACTGGTGTACTGCAGAACCCGCGGGCCGCGCCCACTGTTGCGTCCCGCACACGCGTATCATTTCCTGATCATAAGCCCACAATCAAGTCTTCCGTCTCAGCGACCAGACGGGGAAGACAAATTCGTCGCCCCGCTAGATATAATTAATCAATTCATTTACCAACTAACATCAACCTCACTAAATTTTTAATTTGTGCTAATTTTTGTTTTTCTTTCTAGCCTCTTCCAAAGGTGGGGAGTGATGTAGCGGATCTCGCTACATAGCACTAATATTATGCATAACATATCTCTAATTTTCAAGTTTCTCAAACGAGCACACTATAACTAATTTTTATGTTTCTTATACTAACATTAATATTAATACTTAGAATATACATTAAAGTCGTACATTTTAAATCATACTAAATAATTATAACCTCATCACGAGAGTTTCGGAGAAAGCAGCTTAGTCGATGGCAACAGCCGTAGCCCTTTTTCACTGGTTCCTTTGTAGCCTCTCAAAATGTTAACGCCAACGGTCCATTTCGCCGTCAGACATAGAGCCGTCAACATCTCTCTCACGTAATCTCCCTAACTTAGAAACTTTATTCTGCCGTAGAATAGCTCTCATTCAATGTGTTAAGTATAAGAGTAAAGTTAGTTCAGAAGTCGGAGTCATTGCAAGTTGAATAAATTAAATTAACGTGTTTTTCATGTCACAAATATNCAGTGAACTACTTAATCAACCTTAATCAGTGAACTACTTAACCAACCTTAATCAGTGAATTACTCAATCAACCTTAATCAGTGATCTCGTGATCAGCGAACTGCCTGATATTCAGTGAACGTATCTCTAGAACAATCAGTCTAGCAGTTCAGTGTCACTGCGACTCTCAATATCGTGCCCGGATGACTTCACCACGGTGTCTGAATTCGCCACGCAACCACGAGCACATCACTAAGCCAAGCACATCATCTTCATCGACACATCATCGAACAGGTCACGTGAGCTATGCCAAATAAATAAAACTCATTGATTGATTGTGTGTTCATTTCTCCCAACCAAATTCGTCCTGCCGATCCCTAGCTTTCTGTCCGTGCCTTGGTAAACAATTCAGGTTAACTAGCCAGGCCATTCAATTCTCTGATAGGAGTTTAAAATAATTTAATGTGGAGTGGTAAAATAAAACCCCCACAACAGTTTCTGCATTAGTTTGCATCGGTTCTGTGTTATTTGAGCTGTTCACATGATCGATATCTTTCTCAAAGCCTGGCTTTCCGCTAATCTGGATTGGAGTTTTACACTGCGGCGGAAAATATGCAATTGTTGTAGATTGTTCGACGTGCATGCTGTAATTTCTTTCTACGGCGTCATCTTCCGAGGCGTTGTTTGTCCGTAGATTTTCACGGAATTTGTGCTCTGGAGAATCGGAGGACGAAGAAAGGATAGTTATTTGCGTCTCCGCATCTGTTGACCTAGTTTTTGATGAGCAGGAACTGGGTTCTGTTGACACACTTTCTGATGAGCTGGATTTGTTATCAGTCATTATGTTATATGCATGGTTCACTGCTTGATTCACACATTCATCTTCGCTATTATTGCTTTCGTTCCATGGATTTTCCTTTAAATCTCTAGTCAATTCTTGACAACCATCTTCTTGTTCCTCAGAAAATAGACAGTTAGCTTCATTTTCATTGCTTTCGAACTTGGTAGGAGAATTTTTGCAGGGTATATCATTTTCCTCTCGTTGAGTCGTGCATGGTTCATCCAGTTCATCTGATTCAAACGAATGAACGCTCCAAAAATCATCACCCAAATCTTCACTTGGAAAATGATCAGTGATTGAAATGACAGGATCTATACGCACTTGCCTCTCTATTCCGAATTTACTTTCGCGCCTCACGTTCTCGATTGCTCTTTCTAGTGATAGGGAATTATTCGATGAAATCGATCGTAGGAATTTTATGAAAGATTCGGCGTAAGTTTCTTTTTCTGGTTGAGAGTCATTGTTATTATTTGTGCACGACGCTTCCAAGTCAGAAGTCACTGTCTCTCCTGTAGAGACTTCTATGAAGTGTGAACTATGTTCGCGATTTTCTGGATGAACTTCATCGTAAGTGTCATCCGGACACTTACTATTATCAACGGAACATTCGTCAGCCATTGCCTCGTTATCACAAGTAAGTGTAACACAATTTGAGTGAAGTTCCACTGAACGGGGTTCTCTAGAGTGAGGTCTCTGGCATGAAGTGTTATGATTTTTAAGAGATGATATATTTTGTATGTCTTGATTATATCCTTCGTCATCGTTTCGCTCCTCTTTTGTCTTTTTACAACTAGAAGAATCGCTTGACGAGATATCAGGCTGACCAATGTTAGTTAATTCTGATTCAATTTGCACTGGACTTTCAAGCCCTCCAAAGTGTTTTTTCAGATCTCCAGAATTGTCTTCGGTTGCAGAGACTTGGTTTTTTCTCAAGGAGGTGTTGCTATTAAACAATGACTCTTCATTTTCGAGTAATGATCGACCAAAATAGGACTCTTCAACGACAAATTTATCATCGTTATTTTGCACATTAGGGTCTGTAAATTTTGCATCATGTTTTTCTGAACATGGATCTTGGTCTTTAAAAAATTCGTCGTAGGAGTTATCATCCTGAACTGGAACTATTCCCGAAGAATCATTAAAGGATATAGAGTTCCCACGTTGTACCATATTTCGGTCAAAGAGCTCATCCGATTGTCTGCACTTGACCAAATTTGATTCAACTTTTCTCGGAGAACTAAGGTTGGTATAAAAGGATTTACATTCCTCCTGAATATCAGAGTAACTTATCACTTTTTCAGTGGTCGATATTTCTGTCATTGGACTGCAGTGCTCACGCTTGCATTGGGCGTTTTCTTCATTCTCAGTTTCTGTACTTTTCATGTTGAAAATAGAATTATTTTCTGCGTTTGGTATGTCTTCAGGTAAATTTCGCCCATCAGTTGAAGTTTTTGAGATTTCCTTCATTGTTAGTTCCAGGCCAGCTTGTTTATCTTGTTTTTGCCTCTTGACACGATCTCGGAGCTTCAAGACGTCTGAACAAATTTAGAGAGGATCTTAATGAACCATTAAATTAGGTTATCAAATTTCAAAATCAAATAAGTCCATTCTGCCTCACTTCACGATTTTTTGGCTTCAAGATGTCTAGACAAGTATAATTTACTCACAATCTTTTTCGCACGTATTCATCATTGACTCACAATATTGCTCACATCTACTCACCATTTACGCAGTTAGCCACCTTGTCCATTTCATCCTGCTTCCATTTCAGACGGACTGCTTGTGCGGCCTCCTCTCCTTTTGTTGCCCTGTAAATTCAAATTATAATTAATATAAGCATATATTTCGTATAATAATAAACCATATTGAAGAAAATAATAAGAAAGTCATTGATAAGAAATACTCTTTGGTCTTCAACGAATCGAGCAATAAAGGTGTACTTATGCCCAACTGTCCCAATATTTTAAAAATGTCTACCATTTTTATGCAATTCACAATTGTGAATAGATTACCAAGCCTCAGCAGCCGCTCTGTCCACAGGAAAGACAGGACTGTCGTCCAGGTACGTGAGATTGCAGCATTTTACTGTCACAGAGCTGCGGTATTGCCTGATGCTGGCGACGCAAGGATTGCCCTGCAATTGTAACACTCGGAGCTTTGGTATGTCGGCAACCACCTGCAATGTAAACATTCAGAGAAATGAGTGAGAATTTGTCCAAAGGGGACTTTGTCCTTTGTCTTTAAATTTGGCCCATGTGAGAAATTGAATACTGGATGAGCCGGGTGCGAACAATGTTTGCTCATTGAAAATAATATGTGTAATTAATGTAGCGTTATGCATAGGAAAAACTGGAATGCAGCAATTTTGTCGCCTAGAAGTATAAATCGAACGATTAATTAGGATTTAATAAATTCTCATTCATGTCCTGACTGCCACCATATTTTATCATTAGCATTTATTAAAAAATGCAGTGATCTCTCTAAGCCTATTGGTCCAACATATAAGGACCACTCCGGGATACAATTCTACGTCAGTTCTAGTTAAGCACGTCACAGATCTAATTCTGCACGTCACAGATCTAATTCTGCACGTCACAGGTCTAATTCTGCACGTCACGGATCTAATTCTGCACGTCACAGATCTAATTCTGCACGTCACAGATCTAATTCTGCACGTCACAGATCTAATTCTGCACGTCACAGATCTAATTCTGCACGTCACAGATCTAATTCTGCACGTCACAGATCTAATTCTGCACGTCACAGATCTAATTCTGCACGTCACAGATCTAATTCTGCACGTCACAGATCTAATTCTGCACGTCACAGATCTAATTCTGCACGTCACAGATCTAATTCTGCACGTCACAGATCTAATTCTGCANCTAAGTATCACGTCAGTTCTACTACAACACGTCACCAGACCCACGTCCTGAACACAGGCGCCGGCCAGCAAGTTGTGCGAGAGGTCGAGGCTGGAGAGCGCCCGGCAGCGCCGCAGCGAACTGATGCTGTCGGCGCTACGCAGCTGGTTGTGACTCAACTGTAGCGTCTCCAGCTGCGGTAAACCATCTGTAATCACGTGAATGAATAATATTACATTATTCAACATTATTAGGTGTAATTCTTCCCTTAGAGCACCACAAACTATCTGTAATGACGTGAATATATTACATTATTCAACATTATTAGGTGTAATTCTTCCCTTAGAGCACCACAAACTATCTGTACGTACGTGAATATATTACATTATTCAACATTATTAGGTGTAATTCCTCTCTTAGAACACCGTAAGCCATCTATAAAGACGTTGAATAATATTACATATTCAATGACGAATATTAGATTATTCATTATTATTAGGTACAATTCCGCCCTTAGGCACTGGATCATTAAATATTTATTGAACAACGTTCGTTGCATCTTCAATTTTAGAATGATTCAATGTAGTGTGATAAACTCGCCATTTGTGAGGGCAATGAATTATTGGGCAACGAGATACACACACTGGCCGGAAAATGCCATACGAACGCAGAAAAATTAATGGTAATGTTGTCCAAATATTGACACACTTTATACATGTAGCACTGATACGCATTTTTGTCCGCCCACCGCCGTTTAATTCTTCCTATAGGAAGTCAACAATCACCACGCCCCTAAGAAATCAAAATTTTCCTTGCCACTGGAAAATAAACATTACACGCATTCATGCACCTAGAAAGTCAACACTTTCCACACCCCTGAGAAGTCAACACAGACCTTACACCTGAGAAGTCAACACTTTCCATGCAACTATGGGAAGTCAATACTTTCCATTCACCTGAGAAGTCCACACTTATCATACACCTGACTCCTGAGAAGTCAACACCTTCCATTCACCTGAGAAGTCAACACTTTCCATTCACCTGAGAAGTCAACACTTTCCATTCACCTGAGAAGTCAACACTTTCCATTCACCTGAGAAGTCAACATTTTCCATTCAACCATGAAAATTCAACACGTTCAACGCACCAAGAAAATCAACGTTGGTGATGTGGTTGTGGCAGAGGTTGAGCGTGACGAGAGAAGTTAATGGTTGCAACCCATCCAAGCAAGTGATGTGGTTGTGGTGAAGGTAGAGGGCTCTCAGTTTGGTGAGATGAGACAGCCCTCTAGACAAGGTTCTCAAGTGGTTGTTCTGAAGCCACAAGCACCTCAGTTCTGAGTACTCATCCAGGTTCTCAATCTCAAAGAACCCTGTTTAAAAAAAATATAACTCAGTACTCACTGCAGCGAGTGACAGAGAGCGCATTTTCTCGTCGACGAAAACGTGAAGTCACGGACGGACAAACAGACGGACAGAAATGGCGAGCACAATAGTGCATTTTTTCCATAAATGAGAAAATGCGCTAAAAAAGGCGATCATGCGCTAAAAAAGGCGATCAAAGGCCTCATATGTTAATTTTGATATATGCGTGTCTCGGATGTCAATGAGCACGAATAGTTTAATTATGAACACTATTTATCTTTTATTTTAAATGAGAAATTGTACGTTGAAATCCTGGCATGAGCACATGACTAAAAAATTTCAGCACGCAATAAATTTTCATCGTAAATTACGAAATTGATATGATTAGAAAGAAAAGGTGGTTACGAAAATTTAATTTCTAGCAATAAAAAAATCTATTGATTAGCGGTTTTCCCTAATCAAACAGATCGTTTAATCTCATTTATTAACACAACATATATAGTGTTTGCTTTATTTTTGGCTCGCTGACTGTAATTTTGACTTTTCTGTGCAATTTGGGTAATCCAGATTTGACGATCAGCGCCGTTTATGAAACAGATGTAAAATTGAGATTATTTAATAATATATTGTAACCTTGGTAATGCAGGTAAATTAATTACTTGGAAGATCCTTAGTAAAGGTAGTTATATATTGTAACCTTGTGATGGAGGTTAAATCACTATCGTTACCCTGATAATGGAGGTTAAATCACTATCGTCCCCTTGATAATGGAGGTTAAATCACTATCGTTAACTTGCTAATGAAGGTTAAATCACTATCGAGACCCAGATGTTGAAGGTTAAATCAATATCGTTACCCTGACAATGGAGGTTAAATCAATATCGTTACCCTGGTAATGGAGGTAAAGTACATCGTTCAATGCAGGCGTGAGGTAGAGTTGATGGTCTTTGCACAGCTGCTTGAGACGAGCCTCCGTCATTCTGGTTGGGGACGAGACAAAAACATGCTAATAATGGTTATTTAAAACACAATGTTTTATTATTATTGCAGAGGCCTTGTTAAGGTGCACGAAAAATATCATTGATTATATGAATGCAACACATTGCAGGAATTCAATACAAAAGTTAATGCCACCAAAATTCACTATATTTTTATAGAAAACATCTCTGTGTTCAGCTTACTTTTCAATTTTCATCAACCATCTCTTGTCGATCTATTTTTAGACGTCCTGAATATTTTTAGCACAAGCCTGATTTGAATATCAGCTTGAGTTCTTATTTATTTGAAAATTAAAATAGATTTGTGATTATTAATGGTTGCCTGTTATTCTATTCAAGACTTTATGTTTAATTATCTGCACTGTGAATTTAATTCTTGACGGATGATATGATGTGATTATAAAATGTCTCATGACACCGAAATGTTGTTCATAAAGATGTCGTGAATTTGGTTGGTCTTTATTTTTTTATAAATTGTTAGTCAATTTGCAATACAATGAGTCATCTTAAAATTCTTAAGTTCAAATCATTTCTAATATTCCAGTCAGTTTATTTATTTTTAAGTACTCGCATTCTAGACCCACATCTAAATATTATAAAAAATATTGCGATGAAATTTAAACCGAAAATATCCACGGAAATATTATAAAAGTAATACAAATTTTCTACAGATTGGTTAGATTGGCTGAAAGTGTGAGGATTTGAAATGCAAGATAAAGTAAAGATATTCTTACCTGCCGTCCTCCATCTTGCGTGTTATTGAAGTCTCGGGAAAATATTCTCACCTTCAATGAAACAATATTCTTATATTCTTATATTATATATATATATATTATATTATTCTTGGATTTTTTACGTGAGCATAAATAAGCGCTGTTATTCTTTCAATTAACATTAGAATATTATCGGTATTTTAATTGCATGCAATATTCTAATTGAAATTTTACATTTTACACCCGCTAAGCAATTTAATCTCTAAAATGAGTAAAATTTAGAATAATTGAGTTACCTATAAAATTAATTGAAATAGGACTTATTTGGTGCTTCTATAGTACATAATATTTTGCTGACTAACTAGTAATTTTGGAAATTATTATTAACAAAAAGATACCGTTACAAAATTAATAATATAATTCTCATAATTTTATTTTAAATCGCTTCAGTTATATTAAATATCGCATCATCTAAATCTATACGAGAAAATGGATTTGAAATCAAACGAAATTTTGATTGATTGAAATCTTCCAAAGATTGAAATTTTTAAGGCGTGAGGCTCAATGCATTAGGTTATTCTGAACATTCTGAATAGATACAATTATTTTGCTGTTTACAAAATCGTATTGATAGATAGAGCGAGCTAATCTGATTTATATCAGATCTAATTGATTTAAAATAGAGGTCACTCCGACCTCGCATACGTGCGCAGATCGACTGCCTGTGGACGGGCCGTTGCCATGGAGATGCTTCATTGATGCAACGCTGTAACCATGACGACCGTTGTTTTAACTAATAAATCTTCCACCCTAATTTTCATCAGTATTGTTCATAGCTGCGCATGTACGCTAAAGAATGAAAACATTATTTATTTTGGCACTTGTCAAATGATTATGTTCCTTCAAATTAAATAAAAATAAAATCCAATAAGTAAGTGCCCTCATATACATGAGTTGTAGCTCATACAAACAAGATGACAATAATTTTTTTATGAACGAGATCAGAATAAATCGTTTAGTTAGGCGAGTTAATTTTGTGCATCACTTGTTTAGATTTGTAATTCTGCTTGAGATGTTTAAACCTTTTATTCTCATTATTATTAACACGTTTTTATTAACTCAGCTTCGCGTTTGTTTGTTTGTTGTTAACATTGACAACGAAAATTAGCCCGCTTCTGATTGCTCTAGAGATCTGAAATTCGGCATGCAAGCTATTCTCGCCTAACAATTTCAGATACAATCATAAAAACTTGCAATTAGAGACCTAAATTAGCTTAATTGAGTAAAGTATATATATAGTTTCACGTGCGGGCGCTCACGTTATAGGCGAGCACTGCCGAGCAGGCGCTGACGCTGCGTATCATCGATACGCAGCGCAGTTAAAAAAAACGTTTTTCATGTGTAGCAACGGACTAAAAAGGAGAAAATAATATACTTAAAAACTTTGTAAGAAACCACGTTTTTCTTGTGGACTAAAAAGTAGAAAATAAAATACTTAAAAAAAAAACTTTTTAAAAAAACACGTTTTTCTTGTGGACTAAAAAGTAGAAAATAAATTATGGCTCGCTACAAAAAACGTGGGTCGGGCTGTACGTTCACCATCAAATTTCCAAAATTCGTGTGTTGTGTGCTTTTCGCTTTAATCATAAATCTGCCCATGGGGCGAGCCATAATTTATTTTCTACTTTTTAGTCCACAAGAAAAACGTGGTTTTTTAAAGTTTTTTTTTAAGTATTTTATTTTAAATTCAGTTAATATGAATTATTCCTGATAAACCTTGATTATTGTTGAGAGTAAAATAATATTGAAATTTTTATTTTAATAATTAATTGTCATAACCTGGTAATGCAGGTAGATTAATTAATTATTGTAATTTTAGTAATGCGTAACATTGTTAATTTATTCCACAGTAGTGCCGATGATGCCTTCACAATATACATGTATTATTCTACAAGATATACTTTATAACGCTGCACGTTGATCAAATGTACAATAAATGTACAACATATACAGCATATATAATATATACGAGAACTATATATACGAAACATATGCTATATGTTCCCGATATATTGACAGTGAAGCCCTTAAGCATGAAATGTGTCTTATAAATATATAGGAACTTTAAAAGTAATCATCAGTTGTGGTTTCATCGATACAACTTCAATATGTTAGACCGGACAAAGTTGAAACCAATCTAATGAACTTTGACGAACTTTTCCAAACTATCGAGCGAGAATTGATGGAAGGTATAGTTCAGTGAAGAAATTCAAAGCCTGGGCTTTTTAATTCACAATCGGTGCAGGCTGGTTTATGCTCACAAAATTCTCATTGGTTTAATTAAAAAGTATTGAATCGGAGTGGACTTACACGTCATATACTGCGGCAGTCGTGAGTTGACAGTCTCGTAGAATACAACGTCAATGGTTCAGACTGTGAAAATATTTGTTGTTCTTAGACTTAATAAATTCTTGAACGTATAAAACGCCCTAAAAATTAAATTTAATCGACGCAAGTTATAAATTTATCGCTAAATATTGAATTGTGGACTTTTTTGCGAGAGAGTTTGGCCGTTATCACATGCCACCATTTACAACACATTATTGGAGCTCCGGACGTAACTATTATTTCATCTTTACTGTTTATTTTATTTGAAATATTCAGAAAATTTTGGTTTCCCATTGTGATTAGCATGCTATAAATATATTGGGGAAAACATTTTAAGCCGATAATTGATTAAACATTATTCATAATTCAAATGTTTGCTATTACATTAGTGAAAATTCGTTAATTTCACAATACGTTTTCAAAATACCATTATTTTAAAACCTAAAATAACTATTAGAGATTTTACTTTAAAAACTTTAACTAATTCTATTCACCCATTAATGCAAAAATTTGTATTTTCTTAGTTAAAGGACGGCAATGCAAGCAAACAGGTGCAAATGGCTGCTGCTGTTGCAGCTTCTATTCGCAACAGCCGCAACAGCGCAGGTCTACAAGAGAGTTACAAAAGATGAGACGTTAGGAAACTCCAGCGTTTCTAAGGCTGTGGATAGCCTGTGTGAGTAGTGAAGCATGATAGTCGGTGTGAGTAGTGAAGCATGATGCCCTGTGTGAGTAATGAAGAATGATAACTCTGTGTGAGTAGTGAAGCGTGATTCTCTGTGTGAACATGACTGTAAACCGCGAAGAAATTTTTGACAAGGTTTGACTAATTTTATACGTCGTATAAACCTCGTCATATTTGTATAATACGGTTTTATTTTACAATTCGATTATGGAATTCGACCACTTATTGCTTGAAAATAGCTTCTGAATAAAATGGCCGAATACCAAGTGTAAAAACGCTTTCCTTTTATGAGTTTGGGTTGCCGTAAGTCCGCGTTCAGGTTTTAGGATAACCACGGTTTCAACAACAAATTTCCATTTTATTGAATGAAAAATTGTATCTGTAAGAACAAACATAAATAAATTAACCCTATAAACTTCAATGTATGCTTATAATATTCAAATATAACAAATGATCATCAAAACAATAAACAAGTTATAAGAAGGCATAAATTAACACACCGAAATATTGTGGGCAGTTTTGACGCGGGCTACTAACTGTGCTAACATGAAACTATTGATACGTTGTCGGCTATCTTCACACTCTAAAGGTCGGATAAACAAGTAAATCATAGGAGCGCATAAAAAAATAGACTATTAAAAACTAAGCTAACAAAAGGTTCGCTAAAAATATTTACACCTAGATAAAATCAGTCGATCTAACAATACAATAGAATCCATGGGGGAATAATTTTTCCATAATTTCAGGCGAGTACAGCTCTTTATAACTATTGCATCATGGATGTTCAACAACATTTTTACTTAATTAAATATTCCATAATTTCCGGCGAGTAGACCTCTTTATAACTATTGCATCATGGATGTTCAACAACATTTTTATTTAATTTAATTTTCCATGACTTCCGGCGAGTACAGAACTTTATACCTATTGCATCATGGATGTTCAAAAAATTTTTGATTTATTTAAATTTTCCACAACTTCAGGCGAGTGCAGGTCGCTGTGCTTGGTTCAGCTCAACTGCACCGGTGCGTCGTACGACCAAAATTCTTCGCTGTGCAACATGACGGACGCTGCGCCTGATGATGTCACCGTCGTACCTCAAGCTGACGTCATCACGCTTCTCAAGTTCCGTGAGTTAAAAGAAGGCATTAAAATTATATTATTTAGGTACTTGTTTTTAAGAGTCTTTTACTATCAAAATAACATCACACTTCTCAAGTTCCGTGAGTTGAAACAAAGTATCAAAATTATATTATTTAGGTACTTGTTTCAAAGAGTAATTCACTATCAAAATAACATCACATTTCTCCAGTTTCGTGAGTTTATGTGTGGAATATTTTATTAAATTGCATGGTATACTTGCATAAACGTATTCAAACTTCAACGATTTTATTATTTCTTCAGGATGTTATTCACCACTAAATAGCGTTACTGTTCATACCCAAGAAACATATTAAACTTCATGCGCTGTTTTCACCCAATATCTCTGTCAGTAACTTGACTGATCTAACGAAATAATGTTCAAATGACACTTAAAACGAATCCATTACAAAATTTGCTGGTACACTATCTAAATTTTGGAATGCTAAATAATGGATAAAAAATCCTACTCAATAAATCTATTTTTATAATAGCAAAGGACCGATCTACTTTTCATTTAACGTTGAACTTAGTAAATATATTCAAAATCTTATTCGTCGGAATATACGTAAAAAATAAGGGAGACACCTGATATTTTAGTATCACAATTATTGAACATGTTATTAAGAATGAAAACGCGACATATATTTTTGTTTTATTGTTTATTGTTGCTGCTTATTGATATTTTATCCTTGCACAGATATTTTTAGTACATTTTTGAGGCTATAACTTAGTCTTTAATCTATAAATGGTAAACCTCTCTGACTTTCAACGAGGCCAAATTGTTGGTGCTCGTATGGCAGGCGCTTGCGTGACAGAAACTTCCCGAATGCTTGACGTTTCTAGAGGTACTGTCTCAAAAGCAATGCCTGCTTTTGAAAGAGAAGGAAAAACGTCCTCAGCATCTTGGTACCTTGGTATCTTGGTACTTCAAAAGCACAGGTCGCAAAGCACAGGTCAGACCGAAAGTCGAAGTTGTCTGAGAGAGAGAGGTGCCTATATCAAATTGCGAGGGAGAATCGAAAGACCACGGCTTTTAAAATTACTGCAAACTCGATCGACCCTTACAGGACTCAGCTTCCCAAAAAGACTGACAACCGAGAGCTGCACAGATCTGTATTCTACGGAAGAGCTGCATTTAGAAAACCTCTGGTTTTAAATACAAATGCTTGAAAGCGTTTCGAATAGTGCATAAACCTCCAGAATTGGTCAGATATTTGTTATCCTTTAGGTGCCTGTACATATGGGGACAATAGTGGTGGCCACTACCACTTTCATATACTAACCGCAGCAATTTAACGTGCTTTTGGCCTCGTGGGTAGGCGCTACTGTCTACGGAAATTCCTGGTATCTTTTTATACGAGGCCAATATCGTTATTTTTAGTCGCAGTTAGTATTTGAAAGTTGTACTGACCGCTTCTACTGCCCCTTATACATGCATCTGAACTTAGAGATCCTCAGAGATATCACCGCAGGTGGCAGGAATTTCCTATACAGTCCACCATGGAGCTCAGATTTTTTCATCCGAATTTATTTGTTGTCTTCAGAAGTATCACCGCAAGTGGACGCGATAAACTACACCACGACGAAGTGCTCCTCACAGATTGCTGGCCCTTCTCCTAATGTGATATTCGTGACCCAGGCCACAACCAAAGATGGGTCAGTGGCCATCCAACGCAACCTGTGCATTGCGGAAGGCGGGAAGCCGCTATACATCAAGACTGAGGAACAGCGCACTGCTGCTACTAAAGTCGTGAATGGTGTGTTTTATTATGGAATTTATTGATAAATGAACCAAAAATTTTTAGGTGCTCATGAATTTACATTGTTCCTAAACATTACTCCTCCCTTAAGTATCGTCCCTCAATATATACAATTCAATGAAAAGACTACAAACACAATTCATATACAATTCAAAGACAAAGGTCATTCTTCAAAGAAAGATCTTAATTTAAATCAGATGTAATGTAATGTGTGAAAAAGCAAAAAATGTACGGGCAACCACTTATACGTGCTTTACCACAGTTTGGTTGAACTATTAATAAATATCATCTTTAACAGAATGCGGACAGTCTTATTCAAAAACAAAATACGCATGGCTGACAGCGACCAACAATGGATATAATAATTTGTTGGACCCGAGCAAACAGTTTCTGACCTGGCCTGACGGCACGAAAGTAACCGACCAGGTCTTCTCCTCACATGACATCTCTAACGTGAAATGGTGGCTCCCTGCTTCTACATACAACAAAAATGGCAAAATTACGGGTGGCTATACAACAGCCTACAAGGTTCTACCGGTTCTCTGCCTTAAATAATGTCAACTTAAATATCTCCCCATAAATATTCTCATCAGCAAGATTAGTTTTTGTAAATTTAACCCTGTTTGTGGAGAAGATAATTTTATTGTTATTAAATGGTAAATACTCCAATCATTTAAATTGAATTGGGAAAATGATATTTTTGAAAATGTAATTCAGTTAAAATTTATCTATATGCAACGAAAATTTATAGTTCATTCTACAGAACCACACTTCAATTCGAAAAAAAACACATTTAAATAAATTGAAATTTTCGATTCACTATTTATTCAAGGGTGTTCTTATTGAAAAATGATAAGCCATACGAATTACTATTTGAATTTTAAATTAGTTTTTCAAGGTTAAAAAATTATCCCTGGGATTTTTGGTCTCAAGTTTACCTTCGTTTTGTTAGTGATAAGTTCACCCTCGGAGTATAGGGAGCAAGTTCACCCTCGGAGCATAGGGGGCAAGTTCACCCTCGGAGTGTAGGGGGCAAGTTCACCCTCGGAGTGTAGGGGGCAAGTTCACCCTCGGAGTATAGGGGGCAAGTTCACCCTCGGAGTATAGGGAGCAATTTCACGACCGGAGTATAGAGTGAAGTTCTCCGTCGCACTGTAGGGAGCGCGTTCACTCTCTCTCTGACGATGAAAATATTTTTGATCGATTAGTTAAGGTGAATTACTCTTCTTTTCAAACTGATTTAATATAAGGTTTTCAGCACTAGATAATTTTCATTATTCAGTCTTTGTGTGTCTTTCAGTCTAATTGTTAGGATAATTTTACTGAACGTATAACCAAAGGCGTTTTCCTTCAGCATGATATGACGAAAATTTTCAGATTAATTGGACCGTGGAACAAAATTCTTAGAAATATAAAAAAAATACAATTATATTCAAATCGCAAATCATGTCTTACAGTTCTTTGACAGTAATAAACAAAGAGGCATTATTTGAGCTACTTCAGTCCACGATAATGTATAAGTGCTTTTGAACTCTAATAGTATTTATTCAAATCGTTATTAACACTCATATATACGGTTAAGTTTCAACCACTATTAATAATATTGTTCTATAATTAATCCACTAAGCTCTTCATCAAATATGCAGCATTCCTCATTCCTAACATTTATTTGCGTGTTTAATGTATCGTGTGCTACACAAGACTTGTGAAGTGGTGGATAAATGATCGTCGAAATTATATTTATTGATATTAACGTTGCCGGAGCAAAGTAGGCCGTATTGTTCTGATTTTCTATCGCTTGATTAATCAATAAATCAGACAACTTATTTAAATGTTCATATCAGTTCTAGCTAAAAAACTCATAGCTAGCATTCCGAGGTCGAGATTAGTAGTGACACTTATTTCTGGCTATAATGTGGGGCTAAAATTTACATTATCTATCTTAACTCCTTCGAAGAAAATATTCGATTGAAATTATATACTGATTGTTTTGTGAAAACAGAAAAGCGGTTGATGCTCCTAATTATATATTTGTATTTTAGGCCTGAATGTTGATGTTAAATTTCCCTGCAATGTTTTACTTGAGTGAGAAAAGGAGAACTAAACCGAATAAATCTTTGAAAGTTCAGCCAACTTATGTTCCGGCGTTTGTGGATTTCAATCTCCATTAAATTGTTTTGGAGGCTTTAATTGCTATCAAATATGTAAACGATGCAACAAAAATTGAGCCTAAGCTGACCATAGCGACCGCAAAACTTGGATGGAAGTTGCCTCGTATCCAACATACCGACGCAAGCCTCTTGTACGCCGAAGCCAAATCTGCATTCAAAATTTCGCGACGTGAAAATCTTCGCCGTTTCCTCATCTGCGACGATGGCTGGAAAGAACCAAAATAAATGCGAGTAAACAAACATGGATTCCGTAGCCGAGCTCGCCGCCGTACAACTGAATAACTTGAACGATCAATTGCGTCAAGTTGCGTGCAAAAGGAAATAAATCGCACATGAGCGAAACGAGTGCCAATTGATGCAGCTGGAGTTAGAGAGAAAGCAAGTCGTGTGGTCGGCCAAATTGAACCATGTTTTGAACATGAAGGAAATGGCGAGATAATGTGCCCAAGATCTCGGTCATGAAATGCAGACAAGATAGAGGAAGATTGGTGAGCTGGAGAGGAAATTTTCTGTCGGTGAACAAGCTTTGCAGAAAAACGGATCGATCTACTCTAAGCCGAACGAAACGAAAAACTGTTAAAGAGATGACCTAGAGGATAAAATTCAGGAAATTCTCAAAGAAATATAAAGATTTCATGCAGCCAAGTAACAGGAAGAGCATAAGCTAGCAGCTGCCAACGAGAAGAAGCTGGAAGTGCGGGTACGACTGGAACTTCTCAAGAACAGGATGAAGTTTATGCAGGAGGATCTGGATAAAGAACTTTAAGAGAAGTTGAGCCTCGACTAAAAACTGCAAAAGTTGCGTTGCACACAAAGTGAACGGCTGCAAGAAAATGAACGTCTCCGAGTCATCATCGAGCGCGAGCAGTGCAACATCCGTTAAGTCTAATAGCAGAACGATGAGCTCTTCAACATGAATGAAAAATTGTCTCAAAGCTATGAGGAAGACCAGCAGCTTGTCAAGAAGCTCAATCGAGAACTTGCTTCTGCAAAACATGACGAGAAAAATTTGACTCAAATGGTGTAAGAAGCCGACGACCGAATTCAGGATTTGCGAACGTCGATGCAATGCGAGCTCGACAAGCGAAACTGCCTTCTGAAGAGCATCGCCGCCAAGGAACTGGAATAAGGTGCCTAACTTTGGGATTTAAGTTGTCAAAGTTTCTCAAGTGATGGACCAGCGATGAGCAACCCAACTCTCAGTACGACATACCTGGACAGCGCTGATTCCAAAGGCTGCGAAGGATCGAATTAGTGCTTCGAATCTCCGCCATCTTCGCTGCCGTGTTCGCTCAAGAAAGATGATGTAAATGCTTCCCAGAATTTGAAGTCACCGCAAGGCTCGGTGGATCTCAGTGGTTCGTAGATGAGCTGCAGTTCTGCTGAGTTATTGTCTGACGATTGCTTGGATATCGAACGGCCGAAGACTGCCAGGCGACACAAGAGCAAGGCTGCTGAATCCGAGTCGTCGTCTGAATCGGAAACTTGTTGATACTGAAGAGCATCGCCGCCAAGGAACTGGAATAAGGTGCCTAACTTTGGGATTTAAGTTGTCAAAGTTTCTCAAGTGATGGACCAGCGATGAGCAATCCAACTCTCAGTACGACATACCTGGACAGCGCTGATTCCAAAGGCTGCGACGGATCGAATTAGTGCTTCGAATCTCCGCCATCTTCGCTGCCGTGTTCGCTCAAGAAAGATGATGTAAATGCTTCCCAGAATTTGAAGTCACCGCAAGGCTCGGTGGATCTCAGTGGTTCGTAGATGAGCTGCAGTTCTGCTGAGTTATTGTCTGACGATTGCTTGGATATCGAACGGCCGAAGACTGCCAGGCGACACAAGAGCAAGGCTGCTGAATCCGAGTCGTCGTCTGAATCGGAAACTTGTTGATGACGAATCGAAGAATTCTGTTCTGTCCTTTTTCATAGATTTGCGCGTCAATAAATATTTTGAGAAATTTGTAATAATTTTTAGAGAAACTTTCATCTCGAAAATGCATTTATTAAACTTTTGAAACTTAACTTGTTTTATTTGCTTTAATATTACGAAGCTAATATTAATATCCAGTATGACTCTTGGATAATAAAGAAAAAAAGTTATTGAAGTAAATCAAATGACAACTAAAAATGAAAATAAATCAGTAAATAAATCAATCGAAATTTGTGGTAATTTTTTTGGAAGTGTTATCCAATTGTAAAATTTTTCCCCAAATGAAAATCAATAAAGGTTTGAGTTATTTGAGAACATTCGAGAATTTTGGTTCAAATATGTAGTCTGAAAAATTGAGCATGGAATAAAAAATTACCTTAAAATAATAATTTTGCTTTATTTACGAAAGGAAAGAATTAAAAAGAATGGAAAGAAACGAAAGGAATGGGCAACTGCAAGGATCAAATATTCCTCAGTTGGGGTGCACTAAAACTAAATGTTACCGAATTCAGACTTTAATAGTAGAACTTCGTAGTACAACATCGTAGCAGAACTCCGATCGTGGCAAAATTTATCTGTTGGACATTGATGCAAAACATCGTATATGATACTATCAACCATACACAACAGTAGAACAACGTGGTAGAACTTCAACAAGACAATTAGAGTGATACATTTTTGTGTAACATTTGAGCCAAAAATCGTAGTGGAACATTGCGATAAAACATCAACCAGAGAGTTATAGCAGAACATTGGAGCAAAACACCATGGTGAATTATTTTTGGTTCATTTATTGAGAGTTTCCAAATCTAAATAGATACCAAGACATTACTGCTTGCTCCAAATAAGTGATCGGAATTTTTGTTGTCTTTGCATTTGAAAGGAAATGAACATAGTTTGAAATAAAATATTTATGATCACACATATATAAAATATATATGATCACAAAAAATAATATATTTTTGGCGAATACTCATTCGCCATTATACGATCAGTGAGCGCCATTTTTCTCATTACTGCAGTGTGTCGCATGAAGAGTTACAAGCGAAAAGCTGAAGATCGCAAGTAAATTTTGGACCATCGCCGATGAATGTTGATGATCAACGTTGATTATTAGTTGCTTCATTCGTGGCTGATCATTCGATGCTTACTTTTTGGCTCTTAATCACTGCTCATGATATCTATGGCGTTAAAATAATAGTTTGTTGTCAAAGTTCAATTTTTAACGTTGAAAATTAATGTAGATCAAGGTGCTCGAATTTTAATTGACTAGTCGATCTGACGACTGCAGATTAAAAAATGCGTCGATACTCACTATAAAAGATTTCATTCAATTTCACGATTTATGCTTACTTTCACACTTTAAATACTACCAATGCTTTGACTTGAATTTCGAATTAATAGCACAAATATTCGCAAATTAGTCGAATGAAAAAAATATAAGCGAGGGATGCGGTCCTCTAAACTTGTCTTCAACTCTGCTATCTATTGCAGAAATTGCCCGCTCTACTTTTCACATTTGAAATACACAATTGTACGTTGTCTTCAACTTATTTCCCTTTGTTTTATTTTAAAGGCGAATAAATTTGTAAGTAAAGTATTTCCACAATTAGGCATCGGGAGACTCTTTATAGATTCCCATAATTTGGCGTAGCTGATCCGTTCTCTTATTCTCACTATTTTTTAGAAAGTAAAATTCATCCATTCTCACTATCAGGATAAAGAATACATTAAAATGGTATTGGATCAAGTTTCAATGCACTATATTGAATAATCCACTATTCATGCTGAGATATGACCTCCGCTCAGTGCACTGCTGTGCCAAAGTCTGCAGCTGGTCGTATATGTTGCTAATTATACACTGGTATATAATACTTTATTCTATATGATATACTAAAACACCAGCATTTGAATTACCTTTTGTACCACGTGGTTGGTATACTAGTACAACAAAATTTTATTGTACTTCATCTTTTTATTTTATAGAGCGGTTCATAGGCTTGTAATAGCAGATTAAAATAAATATCGCTGATAATGTCGGACGACGAGTTAGACAGAGTACCATTCCATCAACAAGAAATGAAACATGTGGCACAGAAAGCAGTATTTATCTGTACAATTGCTAATTATTATTATTTATTTATGTCGCTAGAAGCGATATAAACTGGCTGAGCTCCCAACCAAACACGCCATCTAGGATATTGTCCCACTAAAGAATGCAACGAAACTGCGCATAGTAAATGAATTACAGCCTTCAAATGAATGCGAGATGCACTGATACTTGAAGGCTATGAAGTTTATTCTTCGATCAGCGTTGAATTAAGAATTTTCTAATAACAGCTTAATGAGGCTTGATTATAGATCGCTATCATTATTTTAGGACCAGCAGGCTCGTTATCATTAATATGATGTAGCACGCGCGTCCATCGTACGTCTTGTCTGGACTGCAGTACTGCGAACTAGTAATTAATTCTGTTACTTTTGATCGTTAAACTAGATACTATTACATATATAGTTACTAGTTAATCTGTAAACTGGTTACTATTAGGAGTCATGGGAGCAAAGGGCATCCACATTAAAAGAATTAATTGAGAGCGAGGAAGCCTTCAGAAATTCGTTTGCAAATTCAATCATTTCAACCAAATAAAATCGATAAATTTCCCATTGAAAAGGTGATTGATGGTGGGCTTAGTTCCTGACGTGCGTTGATCAATTAATTAAAATAAGCTTAATATTTCTTAGAGGTTTGAGTGGCTAAAGAAATAATGTTACCTCTAAATTTGCCAGCGAAGCTTTCGTATGCTGGTTAATTGCAAATTGCCCAGAAGTAAATAGCAGTCATTTCGTTTGTAGTCTTTGAATATTCTATAACTTCTTTTTTATTCTATGCTTCTTTTTCATTTTGAACAGAATATGATACAAAAACTTCCAGACATTGAGCGTAATTTCTTAAATCTAAATGATATATGAATATACATGGATGAAATTATGAGGCATAATTATGAGTTTTATTATCCAGGTCATGATTGGGAATGATTCAGGGTTTTTCGTCAGGGAAAGAGTCATCATTAATTATTCTATCGCAGTAAATTATAATGACGTCAAAGGCTGCCAGCGTCGATCTGAGCCGTCGACGGCCTCCAGTTTTCGTTTAGTAGCCTGAGTGAATGCACGGCGATGACTACTCAATTGCTTACAAATAAATTATGGTGAAACTTCACTTCCGCACTACCATGCCAATGAGATACCGAGTTTCAATTTTTATATTTTACCGAACAATCAATCGCTAAAAAAATCGTTTAAAATTTGGCATGCACAGAAGTAATTCAACGTAGATCATGAGCAAATCAACGAATTGCTTCAAGTTAAGTTTACAGCCTGAAAATTAGATCCAACTGATACTTAATAAAACCTGCCAGTTCATACGTGTATTAAATTTATGACTTGATTCTCAATTGAAGCATAATCGATAATTTTACACATAAAGCTGATTGTCTGTCTGAAGGCTGTGTTCAAAACTGAGGGCCATGAGGTGAGAATCTGCGTCGGTCCTACTAGCGCAAGCGATATATTTTGAGATAGTGCATATTTGCAAAGAATTTGGTTGAGAAACTTTAATTTCAATCATATAAAAATCAAACCCATGGTATTTCTTTACATGTCAGTACCAGTGTGCTCCTTTCTTCGACTATGGTCGGTACCATGGCATGGTTCCCTGTACCATGGCATGGTTCCCTGTACCATGGCATGGTTCCCTGTGCCATGGCATGGTTCCCTGTACCATGGCATGTTTCCCTGTACCATTGCATGGTTCCCTGTACCATGGCATGGTTCCCTGTACCATGGCATGGTTCCCTGTACCATTGCATGATTCCCTGTACCATTGCATGGTTCCCTGTACCATTGCATGATTCCCTGTACCATTGCATGGTTCCCTGTACCCAACTGCATTTTACGCCCAAACTTTTCGGAATACTCCAAGGGGGAAATTCAGGTCCCAAGTCACGGAATTATTGGCTGGCCAAATTTGAAGAGATTCAAGTAAAAAAATAATTCTATGTTTTTTTAAGTCATTTGGTGCAGATTGTTTAAAACGGTGAGGGATTTCAGCATTCTATTTTTCATGCCAAAAAGGACGAATCCCTTACGCTCCTGGATAATTCATTTCACCAAAATCAATTCTGCTCAATAGCATAACTATATTATTAATGAACATAATATTACAAAGAGCTTCCATTTCAACCACATTTTGTCTGCATTATACCAGAAAAACGAGTCAGGAACACCATTCAAAATTGAAACACTGAAATCACAAAAAACACGTATGTTAATGTATGAAGTCAAGGAAGGTTCATTCATTAAGACCATGTAAAAATTATTGAATATGAAAATAGAATAAATTAAAGTATTAAATAGAAGCAAGGCTGCTAAGTATTGAAAATACAAGCGATGAAAATTTTTGCTGAACATGATGAAGTCGATGAAAGTGGTCGATTGCTCGCCCTGCGATCGCGTATTAATCTAGCAAATCGGTATGATTTCCTTACTGCCCGAGCTGTCAACAGACGAAAAGAAGAAAACCACACGTGTTTCTGAAAATCTGCTTTCTTGCGACGTATTAAAAGATAAGAAAACGAAAATAAAGACATGAAAGAAGTTTACATTTGTCGCAGCAATTAAATCGCGCATTCATTGAAAACAGAAACAGTTCTGGATTCTGGACTAATAATAATAAATTAAAATAAATATCGCAAATAATGTCGGACAACGAGTTTGGCAGTGAAACTAATTATCTGTTCTTTATTATCATCCTTGTTCGTGGTGGAATTTTCAGCAAAGATGAGCAATTCCATCAACTAAAAATTAAATAAATGACACAGATGGCAGCAACGTCCATCTATATCTGCTAGTCCCTAATTATTATTTATTTATGTCAGAGAAGCTGCATGAAATAGCAGAACCCACAACCAAAGACGCCATCGGGTCTAAGAAATGCATGCTATGGAATGCAACGAGAGTGCGCATAGTAAATGGGTAATACCTGCCAATGCATGCGAGGACAAATACCCTTGAATACTCAAACATTTGCTCGTATTCGTTTTCGGCCCCTGGCACGAAAGAAACATCTTTAGACAGCCGTGCAGTTACTCAAACTTGAATGAATTGCAAATAGCTGGCAGCAGAACCTGGACATGATGAGGGATAATTCAGGGTTTTATATGCAAGGGAATGATTGGGAATGACTGGGAATGATTCTAGGAATTTCGACAGGGACTGAATATTAGGTGCAATTGATCATTTTTTGGCCTTGCAAATTATAGTGACATCAAAGCGACACGTGTCGTTCTCAACATTCAACGGCCTCTAGTCTACAATAGGCAGTCTGTGTGTATGCACTGCCATGACCACTCGATTGAAGCGCAAATTCACTTTAACCCGACAAAGCAATAATGACATCAAGTATCTAATACTTGGTATTTTATTACACAATTAAGCGTGCGTTAAGTCGGTCGGAGAGAAACCAGATAATCCTTCTGTCGCTTCTTCGCAGTGACTCGCAAAAACCCACACAAATCTGCCGTATGCGTGTCACTTATTAAAACCAGTTGCGCACTTAAATTGGAAGTAATTTTTTTGTATAGAAATAATTTAACTTGATTAGACGAATCGATCAATGAAAAGCTTATTCAAGTAATATCTACGACTCGTACATTAAACCTGAATGGTTTTACATGGAACCTGCCACTATCTGAAGCCGTGTTCTCCAAATGAGTATGAAACTATGCCTCGATTCTGCACCTCCAGAGTAGTCTGAAACTATGATTTGATATTTATTTCACGGTAAAACAAGTGTTTTAGACGCAAGATGCATTTAAGAGTTTTTGCAGCGGTCTTAGTGCTGGTTCTTGTAAAGGAAGGTCTATGTCGCTATAAAGAGTGGATGCCAGTGGCTGCAGACCCAGCAGTTTTGTTCAATTTGAAGGTCCAAAAGAACTCTCGTGCACTCGCGTCCAGATTGCGTTGCTGGAATTGGGCTTCTACTAAAGACTGGGCATTTATAGCCTGTTACGTTCCTTCAGTCGATGGATCAGGGAACTGCACCATAATGGATGATAAGCCCATCAGAAATGGGTATGTGAAGCGAACGATCGTTCAAGGATCAACGAACTGCACGGCTGTCTTCAAAACTGACGGTCAGTTAAAATGTGGTTGTTTTTACGGAATTTACGTTGCCATCAGAAATTATGAAATCTATCATAGGTAATTCTTGTTGTTTGAAAGCATATAATTGCATTTTTACTCGCTATTGATTGTTTATTTTTTCTCGATGCACCTTATACTACAACTTAAAGTAAATTCAATTTTATCTTAAATTGCGTAATGACAATGCACGGGAGGCTAATATGTTAGAGCAAACCTCACCGGTCAAAATTTTCACATTAAAGAATATCAGAATTTTCATTCATTTCCCTCTTATGAATTCGTTATTCCCGCTAAATTTCCTCTGCAGCTTGTGTCCTGCCAGGAAATTCGTCGATGAAGGTTGGAGAAACGCGACCAAACTCCTACTGCCCGAACCTACTGGATGTGTGTTCGTCCAGCGGGATGCTGGACATCTACAGTAAGAGAAGAAAAGCTTCTAATTATCACATGTATAAGAACTACGACTGTATTTATTTTATTGTTTCATACATAAAGAAGTTAAACCGGGATAACTCCCGGTGTGGCTTCTTAAATTCCTTTAATCGATGTGAAATTTTTTATCAAAAGGAATAATCACTGGTGTAGATCGCACATCATTACTTCGTTGAGAGATACGTACGTAAGTGTATTGATACAGCAGACAAATTTCAATACAATGTTTTACTTCTTCACAACATTACTTACAATTCAATACTTATTTACAGAGAAAACGCAACCTCTCCAGAACTGCACTTCACCTTTCAAAGTGTCCGGGTCCAAGTGTCTGATGGTGTCCAGTGTCCTGAGAACCTGGTGCTCGGCGCGTGAATTTTGCCTGTCGAGCGGAGGCGATCTCGCCTCGGCGCGCTCCGACCAAGACTTCAATCAGCTGAGAACTTTCTACACCGCTTCTGGATTCACAGGTATTGTAGAATTTATTTATTTATATTCAGAGTTTTATGATTGTTTTTCCTTGAAGCATGATTTTAAAGGATTTAATTCAATGAGAGAGTTGAAAGGCAGGTATTGTCGCATTAATTTATTTTAATTTTAGAAGACTGTCTTTAAGCCAAATATTTAAAGACTCAATTTATAGAACTAGAATTAAACTATTGTCATAATTATGAATGAAAAACATGTAATTTTTATTTGTATAGTAATTGACACAATACAAGAATTTGAGGGCCAAATGTCCATCCCATGATAGTAAATTCTCGAATTTACTGAACGACGACCTGACTGCAAATGATATGAGGGTTACATTACTCAACGGTTGTGAATCATTTGAGATATACGCTTATCTCAAATTCGATTAGTCATAAAGCTCGAGGTGGCCGAGTGACAAAGATCACGTTTGGAGCAGCTAGTTAGGGGTTTTAAAATTACAGCTAGCTGTGAAAGTACTGGTCGAAATTAATGAGATGGCTGGATGGTTAATAATCAGCTTAATCGGATCAACATGGTCCAAACTTAAGCTTTAATATTACTACTAATATACAGAGTTGCCCAGTCGGGTAACTCTATAACATTATTTTTTTATAATTTTTATATATTATCATCACTTTACATTTGTACTATTAATATTATTTAATGCAGGTTTCATCGAAGACCAGAGAGTATTTCTTGTTGACAATTTTCTAATTGTTTTCTCTAATCGGCGAATTAGGCTTTAGATAGGAATTGAAAACCCAAATATCAGGTTTCCAAGGGACATTTTATTATAATTTGCGACGTTTCGAATGTTACTTCATTCATTATCAAGTACATGAAGAGTTTCGCAACACTTGAATTTGAAAATTTGAAATGACGTTAGTAACAAACATAGGGATACAAATTGAGATAAAAGCTTGAATTACGAGAACAGTTTCAACGTCCTGACAAATCCGGTAGTTTGTAAATTAATAGCTGGAGACTCCTGCTTGATGATGAGAGCCTCAGCTATGGTCAGTCTTGTGGCGTCTGGGCATCTCATTATGATTCTGGTGTGGGTCTCCAACGTCGCGCGAGTGAGGGTCTCATTATGAGCCTCTCTCATGTGGTTCTTCGGTCCTCCGTTCTGGAGGTGGCATGTTAGGCCACAGCTCAAAGTCGTGCTGGTCAAACCAATGTAATTTACGTTCTGGAGAAGTCTACAACCTTCTTTGTGGCAGGAAGATTTGTAAATAACATTAGTTTGTTGTAATGGGCCCGACTTTTTGCATGAATTATTTTTCATTTTTAAATACTTGAGTTTCATGTTTTTATAGCATATTTTCAGTCTTAAAATGCCTAGCAAATTACGGACCAGGCAATAAGTCCAGCAGCTATCTCAATCAACCGTCAGTTATAGAAAGATCGGGTTACAAAGGCCGGATCCCTTGTGAATCAAGTCACGAAAAATTCAAAAATCGGCAACAGGCCATGGGCCTATTTCTTCAGTGCCGACACTTCCATTCTATAGTAAATCAGGAGTTTGACTCGGCCGGATGCGGTTGTGTTTCTGATTATTTGAGCTCTTATTATTCCTGCAGGTCAGTGGGTGTGGATAGGCGCCTACAAGACCAACGGACAATGGGTGTGGCTAAACAGCGACAGAGATCCGTACAAGTTGCCCGACTGGGAAGCGGGACAGCCCAACAACGAAGATTGTCTACTTTTGTTCAACCCCGATGTGAAGTTGGGGGACTATTGGTGTAGTTCTGCTAGTGCATCTCTTATGTGTGAAGCAACGCTTAGTCCGTAACGAGGGCATGTGATTCGTGTAATATTGGTGAAACCATTGCTCCAGAAATCATCTATTTTAATTCTCTATTTCTATTGAAATTGTTGTCATGTATTTCAGAATAGATTCCTTTGATGGTAAACCTGATTCGATGTTAAGCATCTTTAAATTAAAATCAAAGTTCGCGTGATTGTCACTGAAGAATGCATGTTATGCACTTATTGTTTCGACCGATCGTAAAAAATATTACATAATTGTAAATAATTTGATATGAGATATACGTCTTTTTGTCTTCTGGCGTATTTTGTTTGAATAATTAGTTTTTAATATCATTCTATTTGCACCACTCACGCAGTTTTGATTTTCAACTTGATTAATAGCAGTATCCTTACAAACTGATGGGCCTGTTTAATGCTATTTTTAGTATTACTGAATGACACGTTATGAATAACACGCAAGATATCTTCAATTAAAATTATTGTAAGGGCACGACTGTTGCCGTGAACTATAATTTGCTTCTGAAATTTCAGGTGTAGTTTTTTGCAATTTCGTAAGGCTTTTTTTGTGTGATATTAGAGCTTCGAAATGAAATCAATGCGAGACAGTGGCTGACTAAGGAGTTCCAATAGTTCAAAATCTTCAAATTATCATTAACAATTCTAAACAATTGTAATTGGTAAATTATGGAGATTGACTCTAAAAACGTTAAAAAGTGCATTTAATCTCTTAAATTCTCTTAAATCTCGTATAGTTCATTCAAATATAATTTTAAAGGAATTAAATTAACGTTAGAAAGTGAATTTAATTTAATAAAGCTTTGCAAGCTCTAAATTAAAGGGTCTACCTAAAGTTGCACTCAAATTTTGACTTATTTTTATGAAAAATTCCTAACGAAATCGTCATTCGAAAATCCTCTCTCATGGAGCCTGGGCCCATATTCTTCTCACTAAATGAATGGCAACGTCGACCTTTTTTAGTTGGAGTCTTACGTGCGTCATGTGGCCTTCTCGTTCTTTAATGCTTAATAAAACGGATGTTGCATCGCAATTATGAATTTTAAAGGGCTAATAGTCATTTATTTTCCAAAATAATGTTGAATTGAGTAATGCCGAGGCATCAATAACTCCCGGTATATTTATTATGTCTATGACAACGCTGTAGAATTTAACTTAGCTAAAATATTGTTTCATTATTTTGTGATTACTCCTTTATCTATTTACTCAGTTCATTGCTCTCAGAAATGCCAAAAAAATCGCCGAATACAAATTTTGGCAAATGTTGTCAGGTGGAAAATTGAAGCGCACCCGACTTCGTTTCCATGTTATTCAATTATATCTTCATCTGAAACATTGGAGCTGTTATACCTCAGATACTTTCACTATGCTGAACGCACTAGATTTTATACTTCAAATTCTTTCGCTATGCAGAACATTTAAACTTTTTTATACCTCGCAAATTTTCACCGTACACAAAATTCAAGTTTTTTTAGAGTTTGCACACTTGCTCTGCATTGATCTTGTTTTGCATTGTTCTTCTTCTACATTGATCTTGTTCTGCATTGATTTTGTTCTGCAGTGATCTTGTTCTGCAGTGATCTTGTTCTGCACTGATCTTGTTCTGCAGTGATCTTGTTCTGCAGTGATCTTGTTCTGCATTGATTTTGTTCTGCAGTGATCTTNTGTCAGCCAAGCGTATCGGACATTACGATACCGCTCGCCTTTATCTGTTGGAAGAAATATCCTTTAATACTCGTTTATGCTCCTGACTTGATCTAACGGCGCGCTGAAATATCAACCATTCGCAAAATATAGCAATGACACGATTTATTTAAAGGCAATTCAAAATAATATTTAAGTCCTTGTTCCTTATTTTAGGAAATTGAAAGCGTTTTATTGAGAGATTATAATAGTGGCGGGCAAGATGTGATTTTCTCATCGTTGATATTTCGATTATGACATCATTTTTGCATCATCCCATATTCCAGGAATAATATGACAAGCCCAACGCATTGTGCATTTTTTTAATCTCGTTCGAATGTGAATGCATTACGAACATCTAACGGCCTGTTGAGCTGCCTGAAGCTGCTCTTCTGTTTTGATGACAAGAGGCCGGCCGTTCTCTGCAGCACAAGTAGCATTTTGCTCAGATGCTCGATAGGTCTTTGCGTTGGTCACGAAGATGTGAGAAGCAGCGACGTCGGTTGTACCTGGATCAGAGTTTTGCGTAAAAGGTGGATTGAGGGCGAACTCTGCAGAAAATATATAGTTATTAAATCAATGGTTTTCACCAGGTTTGCAACGAAAAGCATGAATATGTGGAAAAATTCTTGTTAATTCTTCATCTAATTAATTTTAGTGAACTATTAATTCGTCAGGAAAATCTTTGAATCAGCCAAAACCTCTAGAACTGTCTCTTATACACATCTAGATGTGTATAAGAGACCTGGTCTGTTGATAGGATGAAAGCTTTCGTTGAACACGTCGCTGGTCAGTTGATACTAAGAAATCTTTCGTTGAACACGGCGCTGGTCAGTTGATAGGATGAAAGCTTTCGTTGAACACGTCGCTGATCAGTTGATACTAAGAAATCTTTCATTGAACACGTCGCTGGTCAGTTGATAGGATGGAAGCTTTCATTGAACACGTCGCTGGTCAGTTGATAGGATGAAAGCTTTCGCTGAACACGTCGCTGATCATTTGATAGGCTGAAAGCTTTCAAAAATATATTATGCTAACTAACCTTATTCTTTCAATTTTTTCCGCTTATAAAATAAAAATTCAATTTCAATTTGGTGTCACACAGCGTTTCGAAAAAAAACGTGGCTTTCATTCTCATTCTAAACCATTTAGCTACAAGCTTCAAATGTAGTGAGAAATGCCTGCTCTAACAGTGATTGACAAGCAAGTGTGGAGTCTGAAAAGTTCTAACAAGCTTAAGCAGAATATGATTTTTATGAAGCGGAAATGATGTCAGTGTTGAGCCAAAGTAAAGCTAAATTAATCGCAAGTTAGGGGTATAGTTAAAATACTGCAATAGTGCGCTTTGCACCAAGCAATGCTCAAACAAACTCAATTTCTTGAATCGAAACATGTGCGGTTAGAATATTGGCATTGGGATCTATTTATTTGAAATTTAAAACAGTAAAGCTTTCACGTAAAAAATTAAATCCTGCATCATTATACATTTCAAATTAGCTTGTATTTCAGAGGCACGTTTATGTTCAAATGAACGATGTTTATTTTGTTTCATTATAATAGGTATTGTGAACTGCGAGATATCATCATACAAACTATCTGCGTGAATAATCTGCAAATGGTATTATGATTTTGCAAGAAGCAGTCCATATCTGAATGCGTTGCAGTCACATATGATGTTTTTCACCACCATACTTCAGTTATGTACGGAAGCAATCCAGCCATGCCGTTCAAATTGAAAGGCATTCATAAAAATGCTCGCTCCTTTGACATTCGCTGTTTAATGTAAACAATCACAACGAACATTTGAAGAATTACAGTGAAATGTTCTCTGAATTAAGTAGGACAAGTTGTTTTATAAGCGCCTCGTCGAATCCCTCAACTTTACTGCAGTGTCCGTATTTTGAGACCGCGGTGGGTAGAATTTCAGTCAGAATATTAGTGAGAGTCTCTAAAGGCTGGGACATGTCCCACGCGTCCCACTGCTCTGCGAGAGTCTGCAAGAAATTTAAATTTATTAATTACAAAAAATAATATGAGAAATAAACTTTCATTAATGACTTGTTCAATTGTGAGACTTTGCGACCTCCGCGGGTAATTAACCTCATTAATTTCCAAAAGTCGCCAGTTTATCAACAATTTGAAAGCTAGGAATATGGCAGTGAAATTATTCATATTTTCATCATCCAAAACGATGCTCCATCACCATGCAATTACTTTATCATTGAATTAAAAAGATAACAATAATAATAAAACAACAGGTAAGACCAGCTCCAACAGTTCTTTTAACTGATGATGGAACTGTTTCTCGGAACGTTTTCGATGAAGATAACTGAATTTACTTGGCGTTTTCAAGCTCTAATAAATAAAAAACACTAGGACATAAAAAAAACTTATTACATGAAGTGTTTTTATTAATATTTATTATTTTAAGGAAAAATTATTACTAACTGCAATCTTTGGATGACGTGCGCCATTTAAAAAGGAGGCGCCGATGCCATGCACCAAGTAAGGCCCACGCTCCATGATCTCAGGGCAGCGGATCGAGAAATTCCAGCACGCTGGCCATCGGAAGTTCCAATTGCATTCCAGTTCGTAGAAATGTTCTGGAGCCTGTCCAAAAAGATACAAAAATTTTCGTTATGAGTTGCTTTAGTTTGAGCATAAAAACATGTAGTAAAAAAAGGAAAATTCGTGAAATCACCATATTTGACATTTTTGTCTTCTCGTATAATCAATGAATGAGGTCTTAACTCACTGATTTATCATGAAATAACATTAATTCGTCTATTTCGAAAACATAATAATCCACACTTGTATAAAATTCCAGTAACATTCGTCAATCTTGACGAAAAATTGATGTAGTGGTTCGATGCTTCATTAACGACAACTTCGAAGACGTTTGTTTGAACGCTGCGTCAAACTCTTTCGATATCAGTCTATTTTGCTTCTACTATATAACTTGCGTATAGAATACAGTTCTGCAACAGTTACAAACTCAAGGTCAATTCGTTTTTAGATGATTCTAATTCATGGGATATGAAACGAAATTTCCATCAACGCATCTCTTTTTCTAATGAAAGTTTGAAGACAACACCCACATATATCATTTGAGCTCAAATTTGTATATGAAAACCAATCTAGTTTTCATAGCTTTAATCGGCTTCTTTCAAGAGAAATTTCATAGCCATCTATTTAATGAAAAACTGTGACAGCTGCTGAATGAAAAACATTTGCAACAAATTCATACATCCGCTGCATGGAGACTAAAGAATCAGTTGAATTGAGGCAAGAAACGATCGAACAAGTAAAGAAAACGGATGTACTGTGAAATGTTTATGTTCAATACACACTCACTTGGTTGAACATAAAGGTGAGATATTCAACCCCACTAACTTGGTTGAACATAAAGTTGAGGTAATCCACAACATTAACTTGGGTGAATATAAAGTTGAGGTAATCCACAACACTAACTTGGTTGAACATACAGTTGAGGTAATCCACAATACTTACTTGGTTGAACATAAAGTTGAGGTAATTCTCAACACTAACTTGGTTGAACACAAAGGTGAGGTAATCCACAATAATAGCTACTTCAAACTATCGTCAGTCATGAAAAGATCCGGTCAAATGACACGATTTTAGATCTTCTGTGAACAAGGACAGGCCACATCAGGCCTACGCTTTAGCGCCGAGATCACTATGTTATGTTATAAAATGAAACTTGTTACGCTGAAATTACTAGCTTTGTCCGTCAAACTTTCCGTGACAGTTGTGATAATTTTACATTTGACTCAGTGGAATCAAATCATTATTTTGTTAAATGAGGCATTTTTCCGTTGTACTGGTGGCAGGTACAAATTTAAATATTATTCAAATGGTCTCTTGGGAGATGAATTCAAGATTAAAACATATCACATGTTTTAAAATTTGCCAAGATCCATTTTAATTGTCATTTTTGTGTCTTTTAATTTAGAGTAATACTTGTGCTGCATCGTCCTTCCTTTTTACAGACGTCCACGCGGGTGCAGCTGCGGCCATCATTTGTTTATCGTCAAAGCGCTTAAACTCGTTCCAAAGCTGCACGGGCGACCGCATGAAGATCACGTCAGTGTCTATGTAAATTACCGCGTCTTCTTCCGGCAAGACTTGGTCGACAAAAAGTCGTTGAGAAGAACAAGGGCGGAACAGCTTCTCCAATTGCTTAAATTCGTCTGGATAGAAGTTGCTAACAAACTGCAATAAATCAAAAAGGATAATGTCCTAGGAAATTCTGTCAAGGATGTTGCTCATACATACGCGACTTGCCCAAACTTACGCGTTAGAATGTCATGTGGCTGGATATTTAAGATGACTTTCATGCAACTAATTTTCATAATTCTACTTAATACACAGAAAATATTGAAATTCATCCAGTTATAGTGCATCCAGTGCAGAACATGAATGATAAATTTCACGGACAGAGCAATGTAAATGCATAGATATTAAAATTTAAATCAGCACATGTATCTATGGGAACAATTTATCTTTAATTGAATTTGTTCTGATCGACGAACATATTCGAAGCGTGCATTAACAGAATATAATTTCGCTCACGGTCGATTGAGTTGGCTGAAATGGTGTGAATTGATTTGAAAATTAAATTCCTAAAAGTAATTCATATCAGAGATAGGGGAAGATTTATTCATTCGATTATGCCGAACAGACATTAAGATTACAGCTCACCTGGAGTGTTAACTTCGATTGCTGTTCAGGTGGCCACGCCTCGCTTAAAGCTTTGATCTTCTTGAATACATTTCGAGAATCGCTCACAATTATGAATCTGGTCATCAAATGAAATAATAATATAATAAATTTCAATTGTTATCTAATTCACTAATGTTTGTCAATGACCGCTTAGCCAACTCACTAGTAGATAATAATTGTCTTGAATAAATCTCGTTCCTTAGCGAGTCAATTTGTTTCCAAAGAAATGTTGATACAGGTAACTCCATATTAATTGTTCATTAATGTTCTTAGTTGTTCATTAATACTTTTCACTGACTAAATATAGGCTTCTAGATTATGCATAAATGGTATCAAGAAACGATAAATTTTATATAAACTTAATAGATTTGAATGGTTATTAAAGTTTTGTAACACTTCAAAACATTTTATTAAGAAAGACACGACTTTATTATACAACTAAAAAACATTTCTCCAGCATATGACTAATGATCGATTAATGTGACATTAATAAGTGATTTATCAACGAAACTTACTTCACTGGTTGGTTTGATAAATAAACGAATGATTTCATGGCTACGTGGGCCTGAAAAAACTGGCGACTGATGTCCGTGAGGGCGCTTGTCGAGTTATCAGGAGTCCCTGGATTGAAGAGTATATGAATCGAACGAATACAGAAATAGAATATTGCGTTATAAATAATTGAAATATAATTTCGTTTTCGAACTAAAAACTTCAGGTGACAGCGGTCAGGGGTTTCATCTTGAGGCAGTTTCTTGCTAAAATGAAGATTCAAATGACAATTGGAAATCATTCCCCTAAACTATAAAAAATATTACTCAGTACTCACTGCAGTGAGTGACAGAGAGTGCATTTTCTCGTCGACGATAACTTGAGGTCACGGACGGACGGACAGACGGACGGACAGACAGACAGATGGACGGACATGGCGAGCACAATAGTGCATTTTTTCCATAAATGAGAAAATGCGCCAAAAATCAGGACTCTAATAGTAAAAATTATCCAATTAAATCGCGTAATTGGTTTGGAAACTTGCCGGTTTAGGTGGTAACAGCTAAGCTAGATTTAAACATCCCTCCTTCCCACTGAAAGATCGATGACTTCTTCTTACCTTCACACAAAACCATCACTGCTACTACTTCTTCGGTCGGTATCGTTGGTCTTGAATAAGATACAATAGTGTTCGTCGTCTCTGTAAAAACATATTCTTGAACAAATTAATTCATGAACTACTAATTTTCATGAACTACCACAATTACTGAACAGGAAATTCATTGAGAACACGTTGATAAATTTAATTTTTGATCAACGTACCCATGGAGTTTTCCTAAAATTCAAGGAAATGTCTAAAAAATTCGCAACAATCTTGAATCATTTAACACCCTCTTAGCCTTTACGATATTTCTGAGATATAGTGATCTTTTTATTGAATCTTTGCACGGAAATTAATAATTGTTTTCACACATGCCACTTCAGTCACTGAATTTATCTATAAATTTGCTTCAGGTTTCTGGACAACGTGATAATGAATACCTGAAGGGTTACTGCATGTAAGCTTCGAGCTGTCTCCACTAATGAAGTAAGTATTTCGTGAATATGACAGTTCATCTACCGAGTTCTTCTTAATTATCATTAGAAAGAAGTTTCACGTACCGATTAATAATTCATCATTGACGTTCAACAAATCGCCTTCATTATCTTCAGAAATAATTTCTCTTCGGATAATGCGACGATGAGCAGAATATCCAAGAGACTCTCTCCTAATGAGATCCAAGTTAAGTTGAAGGAATACAAGGATCGTTCCACAAATTGCTAGGACGTAATACAAATTGGACATTGGAATCCATGTTACCTGGAAGCGGTAGATCAACAAAACATTTTGTTACATATTTATTAGAAAAAGTGAATGTGAGAAAATGTTTAAAGATCTGGAAATGCGCAATATTTTTTTATAAGTGATTTATTCTTACCTATATTTTCCGAACAAAAACTATATGTGACATGCGGGTAAACATTTTAATACTCACCGAGCCACGGTGGTGAAACATTTGTTTGAGACTTGATTAAGTGTAGATCTTTATTTCAATTCAAAACGATTGTGATCTCTCGGAACTATTTCAAAATCAATCTTGAGGAAGAGCTACGGATGTAGTATGGATTGAAGTCATACAAAACTATTTTATCACACTTCTCGCAAACTTCACTTCTTGTTGTTTGTCTGTCGGCTACAAATCTTATAATCGATATTTATCACACTTCTACCCGTCCATTCGATCTGAAATTTTGCACACTTGCGTAAAGTTGTAGACAATGCATGAATTAATTAACAGAATAAAAAAATAAAAATATAACATTTGAAATAAATAAGAAATTCATCGTACGTGTGCAACATCGGAGTCACCGGCCTCTTTATTTAGAAGTGTGGTCTTTAAAAAGTACTCATTAAACGCAGATTTTTTATGGAAATTTAATTTCATTTATTAGTGCAAGGGAATAGATGCTGCTGATCACGTTGCACTTGAGAAAACATGATCAAGAAATAAGTGACGCTAGTGAATCCCCATATAACATTAACAATGGGATAGTAATGCTCATGAGGATTATATACTGTTTGGAGATGAAACCGTGGTGTCAACGACAGTAATTATCGGGTAGCCTAAGCGAGTCCAAGTAAAATCATTGGATAGTACGTGACGATGTACGAGTTTGTTCTAATTGTTACAAGGCGCGCGTTTTCTTTTCACTTTATTTACGGCTGCATCGACTTTTAGTTGAATGTCCTTGTGATTTTCAAGCACTCTTACATTTTTTCTGCAAATCGCCTACTTATTTTATCCAATTTATTACGTGGATTTTCCTCAAAGATGTAAAATGGAACCTCAATAACTATAGAGGTTCCATTTTTTAATTTGATTATAGTGATTCCTCTGACTTAGCACTTGTAAGAATTTATTTTCACATCTTCTCTAGCCAAAAACCTCGTCAAATGACATAGGAAAATATATGATGAGCTCTTTTTATCTATAATAAAAGAGCATAGCTTGTACAGCAGCTCTGCTGTAACACCGTCTCTGTGCAACTGAATATTGTTCTGTACGGAAAAGCTCACTGTACGGATAAAATTTTCATTATTAAATACTATTCGAATTAAAAATCTAGATAATCTCATGAGATATCTTCGCATATGTCGCAGATGTGTTATTTCACGTGTTCAGAGAGAAATTTTCCGCTCGTTCATATAACTGATTCTTACTAGTCTTTTTGACATGCGAGTTGAGCGCTCCGCACAGAGGTGTTACGATAGGAATATTTTAGACGGACTTCAGCCCCCGCTATATATTCTTAAAAGCCATCTAAATCATTTTATATTACTTCAATGTTATTATATCAATACTGATATTATTATCGTTATTATTAATATTAATATTATTATTTTTGTTTTTATTACGAGGAAATACTAAGAATTCAAAATAATGTTGGCCGATCATCAGTTTAAACAAATAACTTAGTCATCATAAACTTGATTATAATCAAAAATAAATATTATAAATAATAAATAATACCAGTAAAAACCAGTATAATAAAGAATAAAAAAGTCTTAGGGGCCAGACCACACCTAACCTATATATCAGTACAGGCCACACCTAACCTATGTATAGAACGCCTCGACGTCACACCTCACAGAGAACCCTGTGCCCAGTGGCGCCCCCAGCAGCTGGTTCTCCATCTTTACCATTGGAGCAACTGGGAAGAAGAGTAGTTTTCAGAGATTCTTACTTAATAAAAGAATAAACAAAAGTTTTTAGATATATATCAATGCATATTCATTTAAACAAATTGATTCATTTCCTTTAGCAAGTATGTATTAGGTATAAACATATGAAGGTTACTCTTCATGCATTCGAAATGGGTGATGAAAAACGAGTTCTGGTGACTAGATCAACTGTATATAAGTAGAAACATATCTAGGTGTTGTAACGGTGCTCGGTCTAGGTAGATATTGGTAATACCTTCATCATCCTGAATTGATAGAGTAAATATTGAGTAAATACTTTTCAAGCAAATGCTTGAAAAGCAGATTTTATTATTTCATATTTTACTGGGCTCACATACTTCTGAACTCTGAGGCGGTGTGTAAGAGGTAGCAATATCGATGATAATTACTGAAGTCGTGTGGTCCTTGCTATAATATAATATAATATAATATAATATAATATAATATAATATAATATAATAAATATATTATAATATAATATAATATAATATAATATTATACAATATAATATAATCTTAGCTATATTATAATTAAGACTATATAATGAAAAAGGGGCGCTTCGTTCTAAAATAATGATAGCGATCTCATCAAGCGTCATTAAGCAGATATTAGATTATTCTAAATGCAGCGCTGATCGCCGAATAAACTTCATAGCCTTCAAGTATCAGTGCGTCTCGCATTCATTTGAAGGCTGTAATTCATTTACTATGCGCAGTTTCGTTGCATTCTTTAGTGGGACAATATCCTAGATGGCGTGTTCGGTTGAGAGCTCAGCCAGTTTATATCGCTTCTAGCGACATAAATAAATAATAATAATTAGCAATTAGAACAGATAAATACTGCTTTCTGTGCAATATGTTTCATTTTTTGTTGATGGAACGGTACTCTGTCTAACTCGTCGTCCGACATTATCAGCGATATTTATTTCAATCTGCTATTACAAGCCTATGAACTGCAATAAAATAATATAAAAAGATTAAGTACAGTAAAATTTTGTTGTATTAGTATACCACGTGGTGCAAAAGTTGATTCAAATGTTTGTGTTTTGGTATATCATATATATGATATACATGATATACTATAGATATAGATATGATATAGATCGATCTATCATATATATAATAATATGATATAACAGCAATTATCGACATATACGACCAGCTGTAGACTTTGGCACAGCAGTGCACTGAGCGGCGGTGGATTATTCAATAGTATAATAATATAGTGTAGTAATAGTGGATTATTCAATATAGTGCATTGACACTTGATCCAATACCGTTTGAATGTATTCGTTAACCTGATAGTGAGAAGAATTAATTTTATTTCCTAAAAATAATAGTGAGAATAAGAAAACGGATCAGCTACGCCAGATTGTGTGAATGCATAAAGAGTCTCCCGATGCCTAATTGTGGTAAGTTTTGACGTACAAATTTATTCGCCTTTAAAATAACACAAAGGGTAATAATTGGAAGACAACGTGCAATTGTGTATTCAAACTGTGCACTGTGAAAAGAGGAGCAGACAATTTTCTTACCAGATAGCAGATAGGTAGACAAGTTTAACTCTCGCGCGAATAGTAGAGAAAAAATAAGAATGACGAGATTTTTTGCCAGCAAATGACGAGTACCAAATCCGTCGCTTATATTTTTATCATTTGACTAATTTTTGAATAGATGTGCTACTAATTAGGAAATTAGAATATGCGTAGGTTGTTTATTTCAGCAAAATGCTGTTCAGATAATAGACGCATGTAATTTTAGAAAGAGAACTGGAAACTTTCCTGAAAATTTTAATACGATATCACTATTCAAAAATTTTTTTTGCAACTCCATTTGATATTTATTAAATTATATGCAATCGTGCTCACACGTGTGTGAAAACTGAGCGAGTATTGCAGCGTTGAAAAACGCTGCCATAAGTTGAATTAAAATTAAATACTTCGCCGTTTTTGAATAGTGAAAGTTAGCATATTTGGGTAGAATTAAACGAAATCTTAGATAGCGAGCTTAGTGTAGTCGTATTTTTAGTTTCAGTTGTAAAGTTTACTTGTTATTTGAAATGCGAGTATTTGTTTACAAGGAATTTTCACTCTGAAAAATTGAATTTAACATTGAACTTCAATGTTTCAACGCCTGGGGCAGAAAGTGCATTGATTAAGAGCCTAATATGTAGCAACTAATGATCAACGTTGATCATCAACATTCATCGTCGATGGTTCAAGTTATCCTGGCGAGCTGCAGCTTATCGCCGTAACTCTTCACGCGACACACTGCAACAAAGAGCAGCAATATGGCACTCACTGATCGTGTGCGCTGCGTAGGTTTTAATTGCTGATACGTGACAGTTGTTCTGATGGTCTCAGTTGTCGACTTAAGGCCGTTGAATATGTTCTTCTTTAGTTGTAACACAACACAGGATAATCATTTGCAGTTGGAGACGTGCTGTCAACAAAATTTCCATATTCGCTCAGCATGCTGTAGTGTTCATTGAACAAGCCGACTATGACTGAGGTATTGAGGCACTGGGTGACATTTGTCTTGTCGGGCCACTGGAGAACTTTACCCGACGTGAAAGTGGCTGTCAGCCAAGCGTATCGGACATTACGATACCGCTCGCCTTTATCTGTTGGAAGAAATATCCTTTAATACTCGTTTATGCTCCTGACTTGATCTAACGGCGCGCTGAAATATCAACCATTCGCAAAATATAGCAATGACACGATTTATTTAAAGGCAATTCAAAATAATATTTAAGTCCTTGTTCCTTATTTTAGGAAATTGAAAGCGTTTTATTGAGAGATTATAATAGTGGCGGGCAAGATGTGATTTTCTCATCGTTGATATTTCGATTATGACATCATTTTTGCATCATCCCATATTCCAGGAATAATATGACAAGCCCAACGCATTGTGCATTTTTTTAATCTCGTTCGAATGTGAATGCATTACGAACATCTAACGGCCTGTTGAGCTGCCTGAAGCTGCTCTTCTGTTTTGATGACAAGAGGCCGGCCGTTCTCTGCAGCACAAGTAGCATTTTGCTCAGATGCTCGATAGGTCTTTGCGTTGGTCACGAAGATGTGAGAAGCAGCGACGTCGGTTGTACCTGGATCAGAGTTTTGCGTAAAAGGTGGATTGAGGGCGAACTCTGCAGAAAATATATAGTTATTAAATCAATGGTTTTCACCAGGTTTGCAACGAAAAGCATGAATATGTGGAAAAATTCTTGTTAATTCTTCATCTAATTAATTTTAGTGAACTATTAATTCGTCAGGAAAATCTTTGAATCAGCCAAAACCTCTAGAAATACACACATTTTATAATTCCGATTAATTATTCTTCTCATGAACATGAATGGATTGAAAAGTAATATAATAAAGTTCAATACTTCAAATTACTTATATGCGTGCGTTAATCTCCAAAATTTTCCATCTGATTCATATATCAAAGTGAATTTTATGACAACACCCAGAAACTTAATATTACCGAACTAGTTTTACTGCCGATTAAAAAAATTAAAATAAGCGAATTTTACCGAATTTGAAGAGCGTGATGGCGCCGGGCGCTGCCCTCGTCGTGACGTTTTCCGGCGCGAGGTTCGTCATGTTGCACAGCGACGTCGCAGCGTCGTACGTCGCGGCGCTGCAACCTGGGAGGCGGTGTAGGAAATAGAAATAAATTGAACAAACGAAGCCCTTCACTTTGCACTCGCCTGGGAGGCATTGTGGGAAATAGTCATAAATTGAACAAACGAAGCACTTCATTTTGCACTCGCCTGGGAGGCGTTGTAGGAAATAGAAGTAAATTGAACGAGCGAAGCACTTCACTTTGAACTCGCAGGGATGGTGTTTTAGGAAATATAAATAATTTTAACAGCAAAATTTATTTTTGGCTTCAATCTAAATCTCCTAGTCAACTGTAAATGGAGCTGACCATCAAAACTGTCAATAAATTTCAACTCATGTGATGCGTTGTATGAAATAGAAATAAATTGAGGAAAAACACTCGAGTGCCTTCTCCTAACCACCAAATTATGCCTTTCATAGGAAAAATCTCAAGGGGCTATGTAGTTGATGGTGATTGTTGAATAATTAAAGATTTCTCTGACAGAAAATGTTATTTTTTGCAGATTTCAAACCATGCAGAACATGAAAGCCTGGGGAGCTTTGGTGACAAGATGTGCATGACTGGTGAGTGCTGCTACGGTGTTAAGTCAAACCAAAATTTTGGCACCATTCCGTGTAAACAATCATCAAAATTTGTTAGGAACTTTGTATGCTATCATTAAGTGTGGATTAATTGGAAAACTTAGCTCTACTCATCACTGGCAAGATTTAAATTGATTCGCAATTCCTATGAAATAAATTGGCTGACAATAATCTCCTACGATAGGTGTCAATTTCTATCAATTAGACAATTTCTATCAGACAATTTCTGTAGACAAAATTCCAGATAAGTTCAAGCATAAATACAATCATAATCATGTACTCATTAAACATGTATATCTACTTCTGATGATACTCTATCAGACATTATTTCATATTTTGAAGGAGAGGAGTAACACCATAAAGCTGGTATCATGGTAATGGAAAATTTAAAATCATTTGTAATATGTCATTTCGCACTTATTTATTAAAAATATATTCTCTCATTCGGAGGTGGCAATTTTCTTTTTGGCGACAAATGGGATTATAAAATGTACATTAATCTATGTACTTGTCTTTACTTGCAATTCTAATAAAATCAAACTTTCCCTACAATAATTGTGGTCTCACATGCATGTCATAATGATGATCATGTTTAAAATGTAGAAATATAATGAAAAAATATTAGGCTTAACCTATGATTTAGATTTGAAGAAAGTATTGTTTCATTAAAATTATTAAATGAATTTCAATAATTTTCTCACAGATGGTATAAGCTGCCGAGAAGCTGGAGCTGTTCAGAGCCACGTTGTCAACGGCCGCCTGGAAGCCCGCGGCTGTTATGTCTGCTGCTAGCAGCAACAGCTGCAGCAAAAACAGCTGCCAGCAATGCTGCATGGTTCTTTACTCCTGCTTGTTGGGAGAGCATTTACAATCATTATTGACATTTATAGTTTTGCGTTACGTAAAAAAAAGTAAATTTCTAGCCTTTCCCTCCTATAAAAACATTATTTAAGAATTATTATTCCTCTGTTATTTATACAATTATTCATATAAACTCTTTATAGGACTCTGCCGATTTTAATTTTTCTATATTTATTATTTAATTGCAATTTCTCTGATATAACATATTTTAATTTCTCCTCTTTTTACGCGTTTTTTTATGGTAATAAATTGTAGAGTTTCACATTAGAGCGATATTTTGCATTGAAAGGTGCAATTATGTAAAAAAATATCATGCGTTCGATTTTAATGTGAGTTTGAAATAAAAGTTTATCGACCGAGTTCAACAAAATAAACAAATACTGAGCAAATATACACTATTATATCATTAAATATTTCGTTTACTCCAGCAGGAATAATGCAGATTCTTACCTCCTTGGTTCCAGGTACGAAACTGAGGACGAATGCCTACAATTCTCTCACTCAGCAGGCTGGTCGATGATAAAGTTGAGTCGTCATCATATGACTGCAAACCTGGACTTTGCTAACATACGGGCTTACACTGCAAATTACGAGCAGTTTGGTACTCTTAGTTTGGTCGATAGCTAATGATTGCAGTGATAGACTTGACAATGGTGGTTATCATGACGAGCTGAGAGTTGTAGCATGATATTCAACATGCCATGTGTTTGATCGTCTTAGGCTCTAACATTGGTAATGTGGGTATTGACGATAGTGAATATTATTACTGAAGTTGATTCCACGTTCTTAGAATAAAGAAATTTATCACGACTCGTCAATAGTGATCGAATAGCGTGTAGTTATACATAAAACAAAGACCATCTCACTTCTTCTAACTTTTTTCAACGAAAAAATATATATATAAATCGGAACTGATTTTGATTGAGCTCAAATAACAAAAAAAAAGTAATCTCAAAACTTTCAAAACGGAGTAAAAAACTTGATTGTCTGCTAGGCAAATTTTAGAAATGGTATGCCATGATATTTCGGTCGTTCTGTAACCCTTTAATTATAAAGAAAACTAGCGAGAAGCCCTCGAAGCTTGAGTGCATTTTTCGCCTCTGGTTATCATTTTCTGGAAAGTTTTAATGTCAGATTGGTAATCCTGAAAGCTTTTCTGCAATGTCGGCTATTTCAAAATCGTATATCTGAAAGCTTTGCTACAACTTTGGTAAAGAAGTTTCGCCGTTTGATCGACGCCCTGCGATTTTTCTGAACACCTCATCAATAAGTAATCACGCCTTCTCGCAACACTTTTGGCGAACGAGTATTCGACAATAACTGCTTTATTTTTTCATGCCATCAGCAGAGAAGCTCAGTCTTGTGCGATCATAAATAATTTATTTCGAACTATGTCTAACCTATTTCAAATGCACATACAATAAAAATTCCGATCATTTATTTGGAGCAAGCAGTAATGTCTCGGTAGCTATTTAGAATTGGAGACTCTCAGTAAATGAACCAAAATTTCGCCACGATGTTTTTCTCCGATGTTCTGCTCCAACTTTCCGGTTATGTTTTATCGCAATGTTCCACTACGATTTTCGGCTACAATGTTACACTACAATGTTCTAATAAAAAGTCTGGTTGAAGTTCTACCAGGTTGTTCTACTATTGTTTAGGGTTGATATTATTAAATACGATGTTTGGCATCGATGTCCAAAAGATAAATTTTACCGCTATCGAAGTTCTGCTACAATGCTGTATTACGAAGTTCTACTGTTGAAGTGTACTACTGTACGATGTCCGATGCTGTACTACAAAGTTCTACTGTTAAAAGTGTACTACTGTACGATGCTGTACTACGAAGTTCTACTATTAAAGTCTGAATTCGGTAACATTTAGTTTTAGTGCACCCCAACTAAGGTATATGTGATCCTTGCATTAATCATCTAATTCAGTGGTTCCAAACTTTTTCAGGCTGGCGCCCCCTTTGACTCCCTATAGTGAATTTCTAGCGCCCCCCACAGACACATATACGTAAAAACATACGCCTCTTTCTTGAAATTTAGTACGCTAAAATTTAAAAAGATAAAGGTTAAACACAAATGTGTATTTCACAAATAGAACCCCATTTACTTAACTAATATGTTTTTCAGCTGTTTTAACTGATTCAGCACTAGAAACCTAGGACGTCTCGGGCAAATTTACTAAAATTCAATTATCAAGTAAGATCTCCCAAACTAATGAACGCAGCTCTATATATGAAACTTGGAACACGTATTCAGCAGAACCTAACGGTGATGTTTAGCTTGCAGTTTTTTAAGTTTCACCTTCATTCGTGAGTTACGCGTATATTGCGAAAGAGGCCGAAATTCGCAGCATGATCAAAGAATTTCTTCAAAACTATTGAACAGATTTGAACGAAATTTTGAATATACATTATTCCTAACTACCAAACGGTGATTTTTTACCTTATAAATTTTTTTCGATTTTGCCTTCGTTTGCGAGTTTTTTTTTGTTCATTTCACCGTCATTCTTGATTTCACACTTCCTTATTCTTGATTTCACACTTCATAATATTCGGCCCGTATCGCCGGGTAATTTGTCGCTTAAATTCGTGGCGATCGAGAAATTTCTTCTAAACTGCCGAACAGATTTCAACGAAACTTTGTATATAAATTCCTTACCTCTCAACGGTGATGTTTAGCTCGTGACAAGTTTTCTATTTTGCTTTCGTTCGCGAGTTATACAGATGAGATATGGGAGGAACGACCGGCTTTTCAACTGGCCGGTTAACCAAGAGCCTTATACGTATAGTCGTATAACTCACAAACGAAGGCAAAACGAAAAAATTGTAAACATCACCGTTGCTCAGGTTAGGTATTTAAATACTAATTTTCGTTCAAATCTGTTCAGTAGTTTGGAAAAAAATTGCTTGATTACTGCGAAATTAAGCAAGGGTGAAATGAAAAAAAAACTCGCGAACGAAGGCAGAATCGAAAAAAAATTTCACGAGCTAAACATTACCGTTCGGTAGTTAGGACTGTAAATTCAAAATTTCGTTCCAATCTGTTCAGTAGTTTGGAGGAAATTACTTGATCACTGTGAATTTCGGCCCGAATTGCCATATAACTATGGCAAAACCGATCGACGGCAAAATTCAAACAATATTCACGAGTAGTACATTATTGTTAGGTCCTAATGAATACGTGTATCAAGTTTCATCGAGCTAAGTTCATTAGTTTGAGAGGTATTCCTTGATCATTAAATTTTAAAATTGGCCGTGAGACCGGCCGTTAATCTGTCCGAGACGTAAACCCAGGAGAGGTTAAAAAAAACAGATCTGGGTGAAAAAACCATCACTGGGAGTCATGTGCTGCACGTGTTGTGTACAAATCGTCACATGTTAACTTCTGACATTGACTTCGGACTCCCGCCCCCCTATCGCCCCCCTCCCGCCATCTTCTTCCTTACCGCCCCCCAAAATCTTTCCACCGAGCCTAGGGGGGCGATATCGCCCACTTTGGGAACCACTGATCTAATTCATTCTTTTCTCAAATAAAGCAAAATTATAATTTTCACAT